TAGATATCACTCAAGAAGTTACATATGGGTGACAAATGAAAGGGAATTAAAGAGTGGAGATAGAAAAGTAGATGCTTCTGTACAAGGCACAAAATTTCACTAAATGGTTTGATGAGTATGAAAATGATCATATCATATGTTATGGTTATCCTGGTCACCAGATCTCAACCCAACTCATTTTTCAGTTCTGTAAATGACTCAGTAGTTAAGTACTGGAGTTAACATGTAAAGACCTGGATGTTACTCAATGATCAGAATCAGATCAGAATGACACATGGTTGAAGTACAAACTTCATGGTCAGTATCATTGCTTGCTCCTCATGAAGCGTTAAATTCGAACATTTTTCTTTGATATATCTGGTGCAGTTGTTATGGAATGTGTTATTGTTATTGAACAAGTTGCCTGATATGTGTGCATTTATGATTCCATAGCCACACCTTAGTTGGAGGGGAAAAGGTGTTGTTATAGTTGTAATGGTTCTCCCATGAAACCACTGAGTGCTCTAGAAGGACTGCTTTCTGTATGAACTTTAAGCAGCTACATGTAAAAGCTACCCCAGAGGATTACTGATACCTGTGAATGTGAATTGTGATATGGATTCATCATATTTCTACAACAGCTCTTTTGTAACTACTTGACATAACTACCACGTACTGGCTTTAATGATATTTGGCATTTATTCTGCCCCTAATACCCAAATGCCCTATCTCACAATGTAGACGAAGGTGAAAAATAATTTGTGTATCCACTCTGTGATTCTGATCTTCTCAAAACTATAAAGGGTTCTTCCTTGGCCAATGCTACACCATTATACCAAGTTTCATGTAAATCAGGCCAGTAGTCTTTTCAGAATCCTTCAGACTACTAGATAAATCTACCAGTCGAACTGAAAATATAGCCTCCTCATCGGAGGTAATAAGGTTAGGTCATAAAGATATACCAGTATGAAGTGTGGCACCTTGTGTTGCAAATCATTATTTTTATAAGGAAATGCTTATTGTCATTGTCTATTTATGTTTTCTTTTCATACAGAAAGGAAATACAGCACTTCATATATCCTCTTTAGCTGGTCAGGCTGAAGTAGTGAAGATCTTGGTCAAACGAGGAGCTGACATCAATGCACAGTCTCAGGTGAGCCTCTACACTGCTACTGCTACTGAGATCTTTTGATGCTGCCATCCCTTTATAGAGTCAATGCCAATAGCACTTCCTGTATTATTCATCATCAATATCATGTTAGACAGCTATGATTTTGTTTTTGGGATGTGCTCTGTAAATACAGTAGATGCTGATGACCTGTAGTATATTGGTAACCCCTTGTATTTGTCTTCATGCTGTAGAATGGATTCACTCCTCTATACATGGCCGCCCAGGAGAATCACATGGATGTGGTTCGATACCTGCTCGAGAACGGAGGCAACCAGAGCACTGCTACTGAGGTGAGAGTGTGTGTGTTTAAGATGACTGCCTTGGACTGCAGTGTGCTGGCAGACCATCAAAAAATGTATAGGCTTTTTAGAATTTGATCAAAATGTTGAAAGGTAAATACACTTCATCAGTTGTTAATGTTTATTCTTTAATTATCTTTCATAGATAATAAAACAGCAGGAAAGTCAAAAGCCTTTTTTAAACAGGAATTGCGCAAATTTGCAGGAAAGCCCAATCAGTCTTTTTTCAGCATTGGCAGTATAAAAACAAAATTGGGGAGTGCGGCAAAATGCCGCCTGCCTACTTTTGTTTATACAGAATGTGCCTTTTTCGGGGCAATAGGGGGCGTGAGCAAGTAACAAAATGTGTAGCTCAGTGTGTGACGTAAACAGTGACGTGGGAGGGAAGCCTTGACTGGTCAGTCCTTTGGCAATTCTCTTGTAAGTCGGCCCGTTCTTCACCGTTCCTGTCATCTGTCGGTTAATGGCCTCTTCGTTTGCGAGGACAAGGAGGGTGCACAATTCCTTGTCTCCCCAGTTGCTCATCTTTACAGTGTCTGTCAAGTTTGTGTTTCCCTCTTGCTATTAGCTGCTTGCTAATTCCTGCTATCAGCTGTTTCCTGTTTATCCACCGCCAGTGGCTCGCATGTGCGGTGTCATCAACAGCTCCTCCCACAAGTCTTCAACAGCCCCTCCCATTGCAGAAGGCTGCCTCGGTCTGTTTAAACTAAAAGGGTTCCGCCAATATGACTACCCTACGAGGCGGAAAATTGGGCACCTCGGATCAACTCGCCAATCCGGCTCTGTGTGTCTAAACGCTCGCAGCATGCCAGCAAAACAGCCCAACATTCACAGAAAATCTGGCACTGTAAAAGGGGCTAATGTCAGGTCAGGCCTTTTCAGCAGGCTAATCAGGAAGCAACAAATACACAACAAAAAAACAGACAAAATCTGTTTGTCTCATTTTCTCGTACTATATTCTGTCCTGTTGAAAGATACTAAACATTTGATTGACATTGGATTGTTTTCATATACATAAAATACCTTAGTGTTGGAGTAAAATACATTAGTTTATATGTAGGCAATGGTTTTATGCATCTGCACCGGTGACAGTACTGGCCGAAGCCATTATTTTTGGGTTGTCCGTCCATCTGTCCGTCCCAGTTTTATGAACTTGATATCTATAAACCATTTTGAGGGAATTCAAGTTTGGCAAAAACATCTTCATAGACTCAAGGATGAATTGATCAGATTTTGGTGGTCAGAGGTCAAGGTCACTGTCACCTTGTCTGTCTTATTCTCATGAACTCAATGTCTCAAGAACATCTTGGGGAAATTTCTTCAAGTTTGGCACAAATGGGCTCAAGGTAAACTGATCAGATTTTGGTGGTCCAAGGTCAAGGTCACTGTGATCTTGTCTGTCTTATTCTTTAGGTAATTTCTTTAAATGTAATCAAAATTATAGTTTTTTTCAGGACATCTTTTCATTTGTTTTCAGTAGGTCAGAATTAGTAAGAATGTATGAGTTGTACTGTTTCATTTTCTGTTAAAGATAATTTAAAAAAGTAACGATAATAATGCCTGAAGTGTTATTTTCCTGAAAACACGACACAAAATGTGATAAACATTTGCATTTTTATGTGTAGGTTAGTGTTGCTATAAAATAAAATAAAAATAGTTAATGAATAAGCATTAAACACAAAGCAGATACAAGGCTGATGTAACTGCCATTGTTTTGCAGATTTTTGACCATAAACCAAGGTATGTGATTGTTTTAAATTTCATGGCAATCCATACTGGAGATGTTGACACATTCCACTCTGCATGAAAAAATATCAACATGCTGATAGTTATAGAGAAAATGTAAAAGGACCACCAAGTCATTAGGACACATCATCTGGGAATCATGATGGCAAATGACAAAATCACATGGAATATGAACACAAAGTGGTAGTCTGAATCACCATGATCATCAGGGATCACCAAAGTCATCAGAATTCATCCGTAGGGGACCATGAATGTTCATACAAAATGTCATGGCAATCCATCTGTTGTCTGTTGAGACATTTAAGTCTTGACCAAAGTGGTTGACTCACTGACTGATGAACACTAACCTTCCTAGAGCTCCACTGCTACCATGTTCATCATTAACCTAATTGAAACTTCCTGCACAGAGATTTCCTATTGAAAACATCAAACAGCATAGTACCTCCCTGTCCTGGTGGATGTCCAGTGTGAAAATTATGCAGGAATGGCAGCCACGTAAATGCATATGGGAATAAGCGAATGAAAACAGTATTTACTGTTAAAAAGATGAAGTGTGAGCAGTAGAATGGTGGATATAAAAGCCTACTTTACACTACATGGTTCAAGTGACCCAATTCTGATTTTTTCCTCTCAAGTGGCACAGATTGGATATGTAACATGAACGTGTAAATAGGAAAAAAACGCATGATATCGGATATTGTCAGATCAGATTCAGGCCTCCTTCATATGTGGAAATATATCGGATATGAATCAGATATCTGCCAATAGGTCTGTAATCTAAACAGACAGATCGGATATTTCCTGGCAATCCACGTCGTACGTCATGAATAATGGGATGACAGTGCATTTTGATGACGTGCTCATGAGCGAGGGAAAGGAAGGAAAGCCGAATAAATCGCACGTTAATCAAAAGCTATGAACCAAAAAAAGCACAATCTATCCTGAGTAAGACAAACTGCTTGATCCCCGTCTCCAGGGTACCAGCAGAAAACCTGCAGAACCGAATCAGCAAAAAAACACACCGGGCTACACAGCCTCTCTACCTGAGCAGCTGAAGCTGCGGCTCGCACCCTCATAGGGCTCGCACCCCTCATAGACATATATATACGTAGAGATCAAATACATTATTTTTGGTGCCTAACTGTTTCCCAAATATATTAGTGTGTGTGTGAATGAATAAACGAGAGGCATCAACGTAAATTTCTTTGTAGAAAGGCACTTTATGAAATTAAGTCCATTTACTTGTATTAGTTTACAGCGCAGCCTTGCCACATCCAATATAGCGGCGACGTTGACGTACGACTCAGCGCTCGATACGGCGTCTACGTATATATGTCTATGTGCACCATCGGCACACAGACACACAGACACACAGCTTGCCAGCCAAACGTGTGCGCAACTGTGAGAAATAAATATGTGAGGTGTACACTGCTTTTCTATCTTTTTTTAATTTTTCTTTCTTTCTTTCTGTCAGCGACATACACTCCTAACACAGGACAGGTTGTTTTTTTTTTGACTGAGTTGATTATTAAGCCATAGTGATGCGTGGATCGGCTCTGATAGCACCCAAATCAGCATGTACGCATCAATCATCCAGCCGCACCCGTCCGCAGCTACACGGACATTTCTACCGTTCTGTGTAAGTTACCTTTTAAATTATGTGGAGCAGTGCCAGCTTTCCAGGTGATTTATTCTTTAACGATTAACTTCAAATATATAAAGTTAGTCCTTAAAATTGCTTTCAGTAATGTAAACATTTCCATGCGCGCAGTAATGTCACTGTAGCAAATACCGTGGGACATTTACACAGTGGTCAAGAGTGCTGGACCGGAAGTGTCGCACAAAAAAACAGAAGCTGGCTGTGTTCTGTTTTGCCTCCGTGTCTCCGTGAAAAATAAGGTGAATAGAACATGTAAACAGCAGTCAGGAAAAATCGGATATAGGCAACAAATCGGAATTGGGCATCAAGACATGGTAGTGTAAAAGCAGCCAAAATGACTGTGTTGTTGTACTGATGGAATCAGGGATGTGGAATTGGACATTATTCTAAATTTACCATATCACTGTTATAGTACAGGTAATTCCATCACTTATTATTGTTTTTTACCCAGCCTTTGTTGGTGACTTTATTATCAGCCATGACAACATTGCGACAACTTGTATTGCTTTCACCTTTTGATCATGCCATAGACCCTTGTAGTGTCAACATCACGATGATGTCATTTTATTAGCAGGAGATAAAACATGACTCGCCACCACAGGGCTGTAGGTTAGGCTACATAGGAGTCATAAAATGTCATCTTGTTGTGTTATTGGGAACCAGAATCAAAGGAGTCATGGCTCAAAACTTAAATTTTATCACATACCAGCCGCCAACCTTACAAAAACAAAGTCAGCTATGGTTAAATGCGATAAGATGAAAGGAATGGACAGAAGCGGTCATTGAAAATGTTTGCTTGTGCAGTGCACTCTTCATATCAGGTTAGGAAAAAATTATTAACTGTTGTGGGGATGAATAACATTATTACATTATTATTAAGGGTTATCATGTCCACCTAATCAGAAATTGGTGAGGTATTAAGAGGAATATTGGATTTCCCGTGAACGCTAACCTTTTAGCACATTGGCTAACATTAGCTTTGAGAGCAAAACAAACTGGAGGAATCATCCTCTTTGTAAAATTTACATCGTATTCAACCTCAAAGCCCGCCATCCCACCTTCAGGAATCCTGTCAAATCATCCATCCACTGAGTGAGAGCATACGGGTCAGCCAGTCTGGTGTTGTTGGTTAGTGTTTACTTTTTCAAGTAACACTCATGGTCCCGGAGAGTGAGTGACCTGACAGTGCGTTCGTAAATTCAGTCTGATGCTCAACACTAAAATGAGAGCCCTGCTCTACCCAGACAGAGTGCCTAGAGTGCGCTCTGCTATCCCGAGAGTGCAGTGCTCTGGATAACTGAACGGTACATTCCAACAGCACCCTGAATTTACAAATGGTCCAGTTTGTGCCAGAGTGCACTCCGGCACTAAGAATGAGTATTTCTGAATGGACCACTCACATCATCTACCTCCATTGTCTAAAACGAGCCAACAGAACTTGCTAGTTATCACTAGCTAATGTCTGTGGAGAACTATCATGCCTCCAGCTAAGCTTCACCCACCAAAAAAATGCCACACTGTTTACTATCAGTAAAAGGGTCTATAGAGCTGCAACAAAGTCCCTTCTTCACGCAGTTTTCGCATTTTTACAACAGCGTCTGCCTCTAACATATGTGTCTGCAGCACTTTTGAAACGAGCAAAGGCATTAACATGACAACAATAATCATTTACCATCCCTATTATATGGCGGCTGATCTGGGTGTCTGCTCAGATGGTAAGGAGCTTGTGGATGTCATTACTCTCCCAGTTTGCAAACTTTTAGCTGCTAACTGCTAACGGCTACTTTTTCAGTCTCCCCACACACATAACATGTCGTCAAAACATTACAGCCATGCTGTCTATGATCCTGTCCTGCTGGCTGTCCCATTCATACAGACTTCATTTCAGCACAGTTACTACCTCTTCTGCTGACTTAAAGGTGAGACAACTCTGTCCCCCCATTCCATGATTGTACCTTTTATACAGAACAGTGAGGCAGCATAACAGCATGGAATTCCCACCTTGAAGAGGCAGTTTAATGGGGGCTTATGGGTCATCATGGTGAGATATGGTCCCAGGGACACCTATTGTCACAGGGACTACCACAGAGTTGTTTGCCAGGTGTTTCTTTCTGACTTTCTGTCTGTGGACAGATTTTGTCACTGTAACGGTGTCATCACCTTGCAAAATACAGCCATGAAACTTTCTTAAAGTGTTGAAATAAAAATAAATGTTGAGTTTAAGAGATGGGTATGGTCCGAGCAAGGGGGTCAACAGAAGTTGGGTAGGAAGTAGGGAAGGGGTCAGTGGCATTCCTAATTTATGCCCCTGGCCCACATTCGTTGTCATTTGCTGATTGCTGTATCATGGCTGGAGTGATCCCATTGCAAGATGGTCTTGAGTTTGTTCTTGTTATTTGAGATATGGCCATTATGGTTGAAATGACATGAGATTTTTTACAATAACCATCTCAGAAAAATATTGTGGTTTCACAGTATCACAATATTACAGAATTTATATTATTAGCAGTCAAAATGACCCTTTAAGGAATGAAAACAAAAGGGTTTCTGGTGGTTGAACAAATGTTTTATTGCTATAATTAAAACTTAAAGCCATTTTGTTAATGGAAGTATGTGTAAATGGTCTCCCCTTAGAGAATAACTAAAATAAAGGAGAGATGTAGTGTCCAGTTGCATTTTTTTTCAATATCACTGATAAGCAAATGTACACAACCATCAACTTTTATATCACGGTATACCTTGAAACCAGTATATCGCTGCAACCCTAGTGGCTGTTACTTAAATACCAACTGTTTAAGAATTTACTGTAACAGCACTCACGAAATGTCTGTCATCCAAACAACTCAGAAGTTTTGAGGTAGACTTTACTGAACATTCACAAATACAAATTCTTGAAAACGAGATGTAGCTAATCCTCTGAAACTCATGTTCTTCTTTCATCTAGGATGGCTTCACTCCTCTGGCCATCGCCCTCCAGCAGGGCCACAACCAGGTGGTTTCTATCCTACTGGAGAATGATACTAAAGGCAAGGTCCGCCTGCCTGCCTTGCATATCGCTGCCCGCAAGGACGACACCAAGTCAGCCGCCCTGCTACTCCAGAATGACCACAATGCTGATGTCCAGTCGAAGGTATGACCACAGCACGATTTGAGTTGGGGGGGTTGGAATGTGTGGATGTGAAGCTAATGTGGTGCTATTTGTTGGTGCCACTGTGTCCATACTGTAGTTTATATGTGGTGTACTGAAGTCTATATATTGTATGAGGCTGTAGTGGATTTGGCTAAGTAGGATCTGGTGATATTTGAGGTACAAACTGCAGAAGGTAAAGCATTAAAAACCACTCTAGCTGACTTTAAATGTCAGTTTAAGCATATTAACATCGGGGTCCTGTAAGATTCTTTGGATGGAAAGACCTTGTTTAAATCTGATATTAAAATGTGATCTGTGTCTGGATAAGCTTTCTTGATAATCAACAATCTGTTCACACTGTTCTCATTACATCCCATCTTTACAAACTCAGGGGCTGGATTTTCTAGCTCATTACACAAAGTAGGCGAGTAGGTGGAGCGCTGACAACATACAGTTACATAGAAGGTGATTTTACAGTCCAGTAGTGTGCACTCCATATGTGTGGGTTGAGCTGTAGTTGTAATCATGACATTACTGCTAGTGATGATGACGTTAGTGGCCTCAGTGATGAGGTCTCTATACACAGTGATGATCTGTCAGCCCATAATGGTGACATTCCTACTGACCTGAGGTCTTGATCTTTCTGTACACACCTGTAAAATGTGGGAAAACATTTCTACCTGTGGCTGTGATTGTTTGAACCAAAGTGGTGATTTTCTAGGTAAAGTAAAGCTGATCTCTCCACAGTGATGAAGATATTTTCATGTCAGGATGATGTTTCTGTCCCCATAGAATACACTAGGCCTCATTCACCAACCCTTCTTTAGAGGAAATTTCTTCTTTTAACCTACTTTTAGACAGTTTTCCTAAAAATTCTGACATTCACCAATGTTTTCTTTCTTGGGATTTGCTCTAAGGTACTAACAGAATCGATGCACACTCAACTGTTTTTTTAATTCTTCAAAGTTCTAACTGCTGTGTTGTTAGCATCTGGACTTGCTTGAGTGTCTTAAAGATGTTTCGCTTCTCATCCAAGAGGCTTCTTCAGTTCTAAATGATTGGTGAAGAGGCTTTAAATCCTGTTTTGGTGTGAACCCTTAAGCGGCCTTCACATGATAAGAACAACGTGCCTCGCTCACCACCAGGTGAGGTCAGAGGTAAACTCGGTCAAAGTTCAAATAATTTCAACTCTGAGCACAGCGCTCGGGCAGAAAATCCGAGTGGTGTGCGACGACAAGGGTAGCAGTGTCACTTTGTCAGGCGTTGCCGCCCTCTCCAAAGACAAACAATGGGACAACCAGCGCAAAGCGGTTTTACAGCTGATCATGTGTAGAGGCCTTTACAGAGTTGTTGAAGTCACATGTGCGCTCTGAATTTCAGAGTCATCAAGGTCACATGTGAGTCGTTGACCAACATGTGTGTCTTTAAGATTAGATGGGTCCAGGTGTGAATGGGTGTTTAGCCGTCTGGGGAAGGATCTCAAGACTGCATTGTCACGGTTTCTACCGTTTTTTTTTCCCTGTTAAAGGGTTTTTTTGGGGGAGTTTTTCCTTATCCGCTGTGAGGGTCCAAAAGACAGAGGGATGTTGTATGCTGTAAAGCACTGTGAGGCAAATTGTGATTTGTGATATTGGGCTTCATAAATAAAATTGATTGATTGATTGTAGGTGGGTGATAAGTGGTGTCGTAGGCCACCTCCTTTGTTTCACATAGATGGCTTCTTTCACACCACTTTCAAACCATTGGTCTCTCTGGCCAAGATGTGTACCTTGCTGTCCTCGGAAGAATGTTCTTCTCCTTTAGATGTGAACAGCTAAGTCTTGACCTGAGGAGCTGGCTCATCTTTGCTGTGCCATGCGCTTGTGGAGTGGTTGTTTTGTTTCCCCAATGTACAAATTTATGCAGTGCTGGCTGCATTGAACTGCATACACTACATTACTCTGCTTCTGCCTGGGTGTTTTATCCTTTGGTGGAAAAGCCTCTGCCTCAGTGTGTTACTGGGTTTGATGTGCACAGGGATGTGAAGATCCTCAGTTTTTCAGATACTTCTGCAACATATGGAATTACTTTTTTATTTTTCATCTCTTCTTTTCTGTCTACTCTGGGTCTTTTGAGGTTCTGGCAAGGGCCCAGTTAGGGTAGCCACAGGTTTTGCAACCTTGCGGAAAGCGAACACCAGCCTCCCAGGAAAAAGTCGATGGATGCTGGACCCATCCACCACTTCTCCTGCCCGCCTTACTCAGACTTCCGCCACCTTAGCTTTCGTTATTGTCCTGCCATAGCGCCATTAAACAATAATGGCAACCAGCTGCATATCATGCTGACATAAAAGGACAGCTTTTTTTGTGGGTGTCTGATGCTGGAGGTCACTGACCAAACACTGGTTTTCAGTAACTTTGGGGTGAGACCAGATTGGTTCTGTTTACTTTGGAGGTGGTCTGGCAGATTGGATGTCATTGTTTTACAGTGTTGTGGGTTCAATTATTAAAATATTCCCCTTATCCAGATCAAATATCCAGATAACAATCACAGCAGGTATAAACAGGGTCTGCCAAATGTATGATTACTCTCATTTAGTGCCTGGCATAAGACCACTAACTTGTGATGTACTTTTGTCATGAAGCTGTATACCTGTGTATAGTGGGTTTGTGTGTCCACCTGTCTGTCGATGCATCTCTGTCTTTCTCTCTTCTTCTCTCTCATTCAATGTCTCTGTGCCTGCCACGTCACTCCTGGTCCTGCCACTAACTGGGTCTCTCCCTCTTTTTCCTTCCTCTCTTTAAATGCTTCCTCTCACACACTTCCCCCATCACCCCCTCCTCCCTCGCTGCACCGGTGTCTAAGTGTAGCACTGTCCACTGCATGGAGTGTGCGACTGTCTGCAGGTTGTATGGTGGTGATAATCAAGACTGCATGCCAACTAATGGGGGGTGGAGGTTGTACTTAAGATTGCCTTTTGACTATCTGCAAGGGTTGGGAGTGTCAATTCGGTACTGGTGGGAATGCACAGCTACCTGTTGATGTAGGAAAACTAATTTTTAGTTCTGACTGTTCCTCTGATACCGGATACTGGCTTTAAGTGACGTGGCTAGAGTGAAGATGATTTTCAGCACTACCCAGCTGTTTATCAGTCTACACTAATGACAGTATATTTTAATAAGGCGCCAGTTATGTTGTTACGTAACAAAACACTGTGGAAGCAACTCATATATGCATGAATTCACTATAATGCCATATGTGGTTCAGCTGTTGGGATGCAGTCCTGCTCAATATGACTCATGAGAAAGGCCCAGACGGAGAAGGTCTATTAACAGCACCATGTACAGTCACTGTCAAACACATGTACACACAAAACACATATTGCTGTCAAACACAGGCCACAGAGCCATTCAGATACCTGGGAAAAACAGTCTAGTGACAGCTCTCTGAAATGGTCTGCTGCATCTTAGTTCACTAAAGCAGGAGTCTTAATGAAGCAAGCAGCTGTCAGGGTGTTCTCTTTAAAGCTCTGTTAAATAAACCCACAGTCTGAGTTAAGTCAAATCAGATATTTTAGCCTTAACACATTATACATGTTAGAAATACTTGCTAAAAACATGTAAAATGACTGTGAGGTATATAGTATTGAGTTGTGGAGACAGGCTGTTAAACTGTTTTTCACCATTTTTCTATCCAGGATTTTTTGGATAGGAAATCAACTCAACGATGCACTTAACATTACCCCTCCCCCAATAAAAAATGGAACATAAAGCATCAGTGTCATTTCCTGTGTTTGAGTGGCAAGTTTGCTACATCCCTCAGGAACACCATCGGGCCTTGAAGCCAATTTGACATAGTGGTTAAACTCTGGAATTACAACTTGCAGGTCCGCCACATTATGCCCTGCTGCCCAAAAGACTCAGTACGTTTATATGACATCAGAGAAAACTGATTTATTGTGTTAGTCTGACTAAAACTGGATATTTAACGTACAAGTCAAAATGTTAGTGCCTGAAATCTGACTAACACACCTAGATAATGTTGGATTCCACGATAATTAGCACTGTTAGACGCTATAGCTCCACTGAAACACTTCTCAATAACAATGTTGGCAGGTGAATCTCAGGGCTATTGGCTCTAACTTCCAAGGCTGGGAATCACCAGAGGCCCAACAATATGACATTATCACCACACTTAATTCATAATACAGTATTATCACAATACTTAAAGAGGCAACAGATAGCATCTTTTCCTAAATATATCATTATGAAAATATTGTGGTTTGCACAGGGTAGTGGCGACAGTAAAATCAGACTATCAGCATTTACATAGGTTACTTAGTGGCTTTGCAATAAACTTCTGCCACTGGTGCCGAAATTTCGTGGAAAAAATCTGCTTTACGGCAGGAAACGTGTCATGTATTGCCAAACTGGTCGGTCAGCCAATCAGGGACTGGAGGGTCCTTATGAGGAGTTGGGCATGAAATATTTGAGTCACGAGCACAATGGCAGACGGACAAAGTTTGGAGACAAGTGAAAAACAGCCCAGCAAAAGAGAACTTTGCCTCCTCTGTGTGAGGAGGCAAAGAAGAGCAAAAAGGAGAGTGATAAAAGAAGAGGAAAAACAAGAGTAAACCTCAGTCAGGCGTTCAAGAGATGGAGGGAGCTCCGTGACCAAAGAGGCTTCTAAACAGATGTTCAGCTAGCTTTCTTTCTAATGGATCAGTGAGTAACACGGCTAAATGTTAGCTAGACAAGAGAGGACTGTACAGTACTGGCTGCTAGTTAATTCCTAGCTGGCCAGTATCGCAAATCGCCGCAACCGGGGACCGGGTAGCGAGTGTTGGTCAGCTGACATCCTCGTTGCCATTCTACGGCAGCCCTCGGACAGTGATACCCCCCTCCCTTCCTTCTGCTCTCTTCTCACGGAGGCAGCTATCGACAGACATTGCCCAGCTAAGTTACGCCCAGCTAAGTGAACACTGAGCTTTGTTTCCCATTCAATTTGAGCTCCAACCGGCCGCATCGTTTCCATACAGTAACGTTACCGTTTATTCTAGAATCGGGACTGTTTACATGTGCTCATTGGTATAATTCCACTGTGTCTACTGTTGTTTGTACTGATAATGTACATATTGGTATAATTTATTGTGAGTTGTTTGTACTGGTACTGTGCATTCTGATGTAATTATTTGCATTACTATTTGTTTTTTCTTCAGATAAATCTGATAATTGTTGCTCGGTTTCTTTACTCATTTATTCAGTAGAGTGTCCACACACCTTCTCATTCTACATATACATAGAGGTATACTGGTGGCTTTACAGCCTACATTTTATTTAATTTAGAGTGTCTAATAGATATATCATATTGTTATTAATTATCTTTGACCCCCATGGTCAATTAGGTCGTTGCGACAGTGCGACGCAACACCACTGACGCTAGGTGGCACCAAGCTAAAAAAAAACCGAATCCTATCTGTTGCCTCTTTAAGTCAGGATACAATATTATCATGATACTTTAGTCACAACAGACTGATTTAAATTGGACTTCTAAAATACATATTAACATGTTAGTCCGACCGAAATCGTACAAAATCAAATTTCTCGAAGTCAGACTTACACACCCAGATAATGTGGTTGGGAGTCGAATCCCTCCTGCATGTATACAGTCAGTCAAACCCAAACTGGCCTGGGCTCTCTGTGCATGCTCCAAAGTTTTCATCCCGGGCTTTGACCTGGAGGTCAAATAGTATTAGATGTGCAACAGAAGAAGAAGCGAAAAACATGACAATGGAAGATCTGGATAATTTTATATTCAGGAACGCTGTTTGGCATGTTAGAGACTGCTAATCTAACACCTGCTTATGTGTGCTCACCTTTTTTCTCTGATAACATAAGATCTAGACATTCAGGCGGTTTTAACTGGGAGCCGAATTATCCACCAAGGTCTCTTCCTCTCCAGAACAAACAGACCCGGTGACTTTAACCAGTATAAATCAGTGTTTTTCCAGCACTCTCATTGAGGAGGGGCTGTGGTGGCCTACACAAAAATGCAAAACTGTGAAAACACGAAAAAAGAAACATGGCAGTGCAACATGGTGATATCCACAGAAGAGGACCCACTCCATATGTACAAATAAACAGCTTATTGTAAGGTAACGAAAACACAAAGATTGTCATTTTCAGGTGCTTCTACACTTAAGAAAACATACTTATTATATTATATTCGATTTCTGCCAGCTTATCCCCCTGAATCCTATACACTGGACCTTTAAATAGACTCTCTTTAGTGATATTCTAGGGACAGCAGGAGCCAGTTTGGCAGATACAAAGCCTGAAATCAGCAATTAGTGAGCTGGTCATTCATTCAGAGACTGAATACGCACTTTTTTGATGTAAGAATACATACTGTGGGGGAGGGTAATTTGACATTGCCCTTTTACAATGGATTACAAAGTTTTATTATTTTCTATTACATCTGAGAAAGTGCACCAAAGGGAAGCGACCCATACCAGCCACGTTGCTTGCCATTGCAATAATGTGTTAAACAAGCCTAACTGAAATGATCTTTCCCTCCCTCATTCCTCCTGCTTCAGATGATGGTCAATAGGACTACTGAGGTATACACACGCTCCTTTGATTCTCCACAGATTCACTATACAGTCCCATTTATTTTTTATTTCCCTCCACCATTTATGTCTTTCACTTGCACAGCACTACATGGTGTCAGTGAAGAGTCATTTGGTTCATTTTACAGTTCCCTCAGTTTCTGTTGGTTTGATAAGATAATAAGTCACCATACACAGCTGACATGAATGGCCAAGCTGCTGCCATGTGTCCTGAACTCAAGCAATGCACACAGTCTGCTTTTCTTTACTTGTCAGCTTTGGATTTTTGTTTATTCATACTCTGTATGCATTTTCATTCTTTTCTCTTCAGTTTTAATTTAAGTGATTTTGTCCCCAGCTCAGGAATCTCCTTTTGTTTATGTCATATCTGCCCCTCAGTACATTTAGAAGTATCTCTAAAAGTCATCATAAATGAGATGTGGGGTTTATGGATTTATTGTAAACATTTACCTCCTGCAACGTTTTGATTTGATGAATACTTTGCTGATGCAATTCTGGGAGTTATGAATGTATATTGTCCACTATTCTGTCTTGTAATTTTGCCTGTATAAGTCATGTTGCATGGTTTCTAGAGATGCACTATGAGCTGCTTAGTGTAAAACCATATTGGTTCAGTTATAGCATACAATATACATCCTTTGTATGGAAGTCCAGTGCTGCCAAAATAAAAATGATTGAATCAAATTGAAATTTTAGAAATATGATTTTATTTTCATCTTTACATATGCAAATTTTATTATTATGCCTCTGCACCAGCATGAACCGTGGCTGGAGGCATTATGCTTTTGGGTTGTCCATCCATCCGATTCTTGTGAATCTGAAATCTCAAGAACACTGAATTTCCCTCACATACCTTAGGAGAATTTTTTCAGATTTGGCACAAACATCCACTTGCACTCAGGGATGAACTAATTAGAATTTGGTGGTCAAAGGTCAGGGTCACTGTGACCTTGCGTCTGTCTCATTTTATGAACGTGATATCTCAAAAATACCTTGAGAGAATTTTTCCAAATTTGGCACAAACTTTCACTTGGACTGAAGAACAGACTGCTTAGATTTTTGTAGTCAAAGGTCAAGGTCACTGTGACCCTGCATCTGTCTCATTCTTGTGAACGTGATATCTCAAGGACAACTTGAGGGAATTTCTTCAAATTTGGCACAAACATCCACTTGGACCAGAATTGAACTGATTAGAATTTTGTGGATGATGTCACTGCGACCTCACAAAATATGTTTTTGGCCATAGTTTAAGAATTCGTGTGAAATTTTCATATGTTTCATAAGAAATGTTTGTCATTTTTATGACAAAATTGCTAGACAAACCTTTAATAAGCTAAAATAATGAAGTAATGACATTTTATATCCATATGGTCAAAGGTCAGCAAAGGTCAGCTTCAGTGTGACACCATAATGTTCAACAAAAACCCTTTTTTGGTCGGATACTGAATTACTGACACTAATCTTGGGGGCCCACCTTGAAACTGTCCTAATTATATAGATCTTCGGGGAACATGTGTTTGAGGCATCCATTTTTTCACATACATGGATGTTAACTGTACCTGCGACTTTACGGTTCCTGGAGGCATACAGCCGCAAGGCAGTAATTCTGGTTTTTTTTTCTGACAATCTTACTCCACACACAAATAGAAAATTAAAATTGGTTAAATTATTTTATTTCAATATTGGCAGTTCTGGTTTTACATACATGAAACTTCCTGACCAAGTACTTCACATGCATGCTTTTTTATAGAAGATTCTCAAATTACTAGTATAACATTTACTCCTTTACTACTACAACACTGCTTATCAATAATGGCATGGGAAGCTTACAAAGCTTTAAAAATATTACCTGCTTGGCCAAAGACTTGGCATTGACTAGCATGTTGCATCGAGGCTACATTAATTTGCACCATTCTAAGCTTTTGACTGTGTAAAGTTTTTAAACCATCACGTTAGTCACTGTATTCTTCACACTTTTGTAAACAACTTTTTCACATTAAATCGGACCACACTTACAGAATGGCAAGGTAAGGCAAGAATCTCACAACTACTCCAATCTGCTCTGCAATCTCTAACTTTTCTCATATATTTCTCATTGCTAACTCTGATACTTCTATGACGTACAGTTAACATAGTGCACTTTGGTGTTGATCAGAAATGTACCCTCCTTGTTATGTGTCACTTTGTGAGTTCACTCTAATTTGGTGTCTTTAGGTAGTTAATATTGTTTGTCCATCTTCATGTCAATCCTGATGAAAATCTGTGTATACTGTACATCTGTTTGTTCTGCTTCATTTTTTGTCTTTCTTGTTTGAAATTGTTTTTTGAGGCCTATGAAAAGTATGAGATATTTTTGTCTCAAAATTATTTGTGTTAACAAATTAACAATCCATGCATTCATAAAACACCTGCCACAAATACAAAAAAGATTGGTAAACTCACAAAAATATTTTGCAAATATAAAACACAGTTGCAAATACACAAACAGCTTCCACAAATAAAAACACATCTGTGAATACATTTAATTGACTTTCAAATAAATGGAAAACATTTGTGAATATCTTTCACATTTCAACATTTACAACTTTCAAACACATATTTTTGAATCCAGTTTTTATTTGTGAATCTCCATGTTATGCTTGCAGACTTGCATTTGAAGCACACTAGTGTATGTTTTATGCATTTATTTGTTTAATTTTTGGTATTTCTGAATTTGCACATCGGTTCGATATTTGCAAGTTTTTTTCTGTGAGTTTCCGAATCTTTTTTGTATTTGTGGAAGTTGTTTTATATTATTTATCTATATTACAGATTACATATTTTACATGCACACTGATTGTCAAACTGCTCACATAAACAATATCAAGACAAATCTGTCTCCATACAAAGGCCTTTCTTTTACTTTCATTTCTGTACTTGATAATCTGCATGGAAGTGACAGAGTGTGTTTTGGGGTAGTGTGTATGGGTGCTACATATTCTGACTTGAATATTTTCCAGAGGAATTGGTTTTTACTTTTCCCTGTGACTTTCCCATTTTCTTTGCTTTCAGTTTAGTTTTTGTTCACCTGTGATGCTTCATGCGACTGCTGCATGCTGGGAAGTCTAAAAATCAGGAGACACAAGGTTAAAGTATATGAAGCACAAGCTAATGTCTGACCTCTGTCCTTCTATGTGTGTGTCTCTTTCCTGTGTGTCTTTCAGAGTGGATTCACCCCCCTACATATTGCTGCCCACTACGGCAACGTAAATGTGGCAACACTCTTACTGAACCGAGGGGCAGCAGTCGACTTCACAGCAAGGGTAGGATTCAGCACTAATTAGCTCTGTTATTTTGGTGTAATGAGTGCACTGAAAGACACTTTAACTCCACTGAAACAACAATACTGGTGGCTGCTAAGTCTCAGGGCTATTGGCTATTAACCTCCAGGGGTGGGAATCACCAGAGGCCCCACAATACAATATTAGCATAGCACTTAATTCACGATACAATGTTATCACGATACTTAAGTCAAGATATGATATTATCATGATAATAAAGTCCTGAAACAACATTATTACGATACTTAAGTCATGATGTGATATTATCACAATACCTGAGTCACAATACAATATTTACACGATTCTTAAGTCAGGATACGATATTATCATGATACATGAGTCATGGTACGGGTACGATGTTATCATGACACTTGAGTCATGTTACAATATTAAAACAATACTTAAGTCAGGATACGATAACAGAACTTGAGTTACAATACGATATCACAATACCTCAGTCAGGATATGATATAACCATATTATCACAGTGCTTAAGCCAAGATACAATATTCTCACAATACTTCAGTTACATTACAATATTTTTGCAATATTATCATGTTATATAAGTTGTGATATGATACTATAACAATACTTGAGTTACAATATGATATTATCACAGTACTTAAGTCAGGATACAATATTATCACTATACTTGAATCACAATACATAAGTCACATTACAGTATAACTGCATTTTTAAACATTGTGATATGCTGAGTATTGTAAGTGTTACATACTGAGACACATTGAAAACAGAAAAATACAAGGAAATACATAAATGCTGCCAGTTATATACAACATACAGACCATTTCACCAGAACTGCATTATGAGGCAACAGCTTACGTCCATGTTTACTTCCTGTCAGTGTTGCCATTCACATACACTGCAAAACATTTCAACAGAATATACAAAAGGACCCATTTAGAATCTGCATATTGTTAAGTTTGAAACGGTTTATTGGGGCTCACTGGAGGACACTAAAAACTGATTAGCAACTAAAATTAGCTACTAAAATGCTAACATAGGTGGGAAGCCAATATTGTAAGTAACATTGCAATCACTCAGCATAATGTTACTAACAACGAGGCATACAGAGGATAGTATGCTTCATACAGACAGGATGAGTGCATTCTCCCAAACCTTTTAACTGCATAGGATTTCAAATCTCTGTAACCATTGTTAGCCACACTAGCAATCTCATGAGGCTTAGGAGAGTGCAAGGTGAAAAAAAAAAGTTTTTATCCACGCTGCTCCAATGGCTAAAAATAAAACATATGCCTCGTTTTTTGGATGATATTAAAGGAATAAAAAAAAAATATCTGAAAGGCCAGAAATGAAAGATAAAAATGTGCACTGTTCAGTTTGCTGGAGGCGAGGCAGGAGTTTGACACAGTTTCAGACTTAACTGTTTTATTTCTAGCTCAACAATAATATTTATTGTGTCAAACAGCATGCCAAGGAAACAAGCAAACTTCCTTTCAGTGTATACCAGCTAAAGAGCCCTCAACATAGACCACAGAATAACATTTGAATGCAAATATATGTGATTAGAACAATAAAATATATTAACGAGAATAAGCTGATTAGTTTGTTAATTGTTTGAAGGAATACTCATACTTTGCTTTTAATATTACAAATTAGAATTGGAAATTCAATTTTGCTAACTGATTCAAGTATATTACTATGCTTTTTTACTATGCGTCCACACTTTGGCCAGTGGCATTATGTTTTCAGGTTGCCGACCATCCATCTGTATAGCTGTCCATCCATCTGTTCATCCCATTCTTGGTAACACAATATCTTAACATCTTAAGGGAATTTCTTCAAAAGTTTTCTTGGACTCAAGGATAAACTGATTCGATTTTGGTGGTCAAAAGTCAAGGTCACTGTGACTTTGTTTGTCACATACTTGTGAAAGTGACACCTCAAGACAAACGACTTGGACTCAACAATGAACTACTTAATATGTAGTAGTCAAAGGTCAAGGTCAATGTGACTTTGCATCCATCTCATTCTCATGAATGCAGTATCTTAAGAGGGCCTTGAGGGATTTTTCTCAAATTTGGTACAAATGTCTACTTTACAATACAAATGAATAAACTGACTAGATTTGGTGGTGAAGGGTCAAGGTCACTGGGACCTCATAAAACAAGTTTTTGGCCATAACTCAAGAATGCTTACACTAATTTAGACACAATTTCACACAAATGTCTAATAGGATAAAGTGATGACATTTTATATCCAAAAGATCAAAGGTCAACTTCACTGTAACATCATAATGCTCTTCAAAAACCCTTTTCTGGCCATTATTCAGTGTCATAAATCAGGAACAAAAGGGGAGACATTTGGTCAGATATTGAATTGGTGACACAAATCTTGGGTCTCCGCCTTGAAATTGTGCTAATTGTATAGATCTTCTGTGCTGCTGAGGGAAAGATGTGTGTGAAGCATCCATGTTTTCACAGACATGGTTGTAAATTGTAAGAGCAACTAGAGTGGTTTGCGGAGGCATACAAAGGCAAAGCTGAAATTCTAGTTTTAATACTAATTTTGAGATGTCACTTTTAAGTGTTGTTTTTATATATGATTAACACTGTCAAATCAATTACTATGACAGTACAATACAAGTGTGGATTCAATTTCAGTAACCTCTTCATGAATAATCAGAAATCTGAGTATTTTTAATGTGTCTAACTAAGACAAAGTACATTTCATTAAATATCCTTTTTCTCACCTTCGCAGAATGGGATTACGCCTCTACATGTGGCATCTAAGCGTGGCAACACTAACATGGTTGGCCTGTTACTGGACCGTGGCTCTCAGATTGATGCTAAAACAAGGGTGAGTATCATGACAAGCCCAACTATGGTGTCTAATAAAAAAGAGAACTTGTCTCAGGTCCGCAGCACACTACTGATGAAACACTGCCAAGTAAAATGTTTCTGCTATCATATCTGCAGGGGCAGAAAATGACCAGCTTATTATTAGTATCTCCATTACGGACAGCAGCTGTGAATGCTAAATGCTCAGTGGGTCAGTGGATTAAATTGAGTGTAACACTGGACATCCTGACCTCTGCTTCATGTTGGTTTATGTGTGCCAGCTAGCAGGACACTCATGTTATTAGCTGTATTTGAATCCAGCCAATACAAACAACATTCAGCCAGTGTTAGTTGCTGGCTACACCTGTGTATTGGGAGTAACCAGGCTGTGTTGAGGGTTTTTTCTGGTTAAGCCACTGACCCCAACTGACCAGATTAGCTCAGTAAAAAAGCACTTCTGCATGTAAGCAATGATATCAGTACAGTGAAATCACTATTCGTCTTTAGCCTCCAGACACGTCAATGTCAGTATGTGTTCAGTGACTATGAATGTGTTTCTGTGTGTGTGTTCTGTAGGATGGTCTAACTCCTCTGCACTGTGCAGCCCGGAGTGGACATGATACAGCTGTGGAGTTGCTGCTGGAGAGAGGAGCACCCTTGCTGGCCAGGACCAAGGTGGGTCACATGTCCATTCGCCTTTCACAGAAAAAGGGACAGAAGCATGCTATGTTGTTAATCAATGACTTTCTCAAACTCTGTCCCATCAGCTTGTTACAGATATAAAGTAGTCTATAGTTTGGTTTCCACCCAAATGTAGGGCAAATTTTAACCAATTTTCAGAAAATCAGCAAAGGAAAATGCATTTTTATGTGCTTCTCCATCTAATACGGTTATGTGAATCTTGGAAGGTGGTTCATTGAGATAAGTAGTAGGTGTTGAGTAAAGGCCCGAACATACTCGGGCAGAACGTACGCGGAACAGACTCCACGGAGGTCCGCGCGGACTCAAAGCAGACGTCCGCAAGCCCTGTGCGTGCAAAGCTCAGATTTTACGACCGCGCGGACTTTTTCACATCGTGGGGATTTTTTACAGACATTTTTACAGGAAACTACAACGCGGAAGTGCGCTTGACTATGGAAGCCCGAATGACTGCGGACATTCCTCGCGGAGTCCGCTCCACTTATAGTATGCCCGAGTATATTTGGGCCTTAAGTCAGCAGTCAGTTGATTGTACCTACTGTATTAGTGGTTCAGTCAAGAACTATTTTAAGTTTGACATTTTGGGAAATAAAGTTGTTTGTAATTTTACTCTGGTCAAAAGAGAGGATTGATGGCAATTTTATATCCACTGTACATATTCAGTAAATAGATTCTTGTTTATTTAACTGATGTACAAATAAGGTGTACATATACGACACTGCTATTAAAAGCAGTTTACTTTGGAGCTCTTTTTATGCCTGACGATAGCTGTGGTTGGAGGCATCATTTTTACGAGTTGTCCATCCCATTTGTAATGACAATATCTCAAGAGCACCATGGGGGAAATTTGTCAAATTTGGTACTGATGTCCACTTTGACTCAACAATGAGCTGATGGTGGATAAGGCCAAGGTCAATGTGACCTTGCATTTGTCTCATTCTCATGAACGCAAAATCTCAAGAGCACCTTGAGGGAATTTTTTTAAAATTTGGAACAAACGGCTACGTTTCATAAAGCATGAACTGATCAGAATTTGGTGTTCAAGTGTCAAGGTCACTGTGTCCCTGTCTGTCTCATTCTCGTGAATGCAATATCCCAAGAACACATTGAAGGAGTCTTTAGATTTGAGACAAACATCTACTTGGACTTAAAAATAAACGGATTAGATTTGAAGGTCGGGGCGTCGGTGGCGTAGTGGATAGTGCCGGCACCCCATGTACAGAGGCATTGCCTCACTGCAGCGGTCGCGGGATCGAGTCCGGCCTGCGACCCTTTGCTGCGTGTCAGTCCCCGCTCTCTCTCTCTGTCTCCCCATTTCACACACTGTCCTGTCCATTAAAGGCAAAAGTCCACAAAAAATAATCTTTAAAAAAAAATAAAAAAAAATAAAAAATTTGAAGGTCAAGGGTCACTGTGACCTTGCGTCTGTCATCATTTTCTGAAACGCAGTATCTCAAAAAAGCCTAGGGGGAGTTTCCTCAAATTTGGCACAAATGTCAAATTGGACTCAAGAATGATTAGAATTTGATTGTCAAGGGTCAAGGTCACTGTGACCCTGTCCATTGCATTCTCATGAATGCGATATCCCAAGAACACCTTCAATCAATCAATCAATCAATCAATCAATTTATAAAGCCCAATATCACAAATCACAATTTGCCTCAGAGGGTTTTACAGCATACGACATCCCTCTGTCCTTTGGACCCTCGCAGCGGATAAGGAAAAACTCCCCAAAAAAACCCTTTAATGGGGGAAAAAAACAGTAGAAACTTCAGGAAGAGCAACTGAGGAGGGATCCCTCTTCCAGGACGGACAGATATGCAATAGATGTCGTACAGGACAGATCAACATGATAAACAGTAATCTGTATGACACAATAAGACAGAAAGAGAGACAGAGACAGAGACAGAGAGAGATGCAGGACAGACGATAATGACAGTAGCTTACAACAACATTAGTTAAAGTAATAATATTATAATAATAATAATTACGGCTATTGTGGTACAATATGTTGAAAGTATATCTTAATATCTGATAGTATACATATGTGACAATAATCATATGTGTATAATAACAGTAGAAGTATGACTAATGATAACAGCAGCAGGAGGCATCTGGCAGGACCACGGCAGCAGCACAACCACACACATCACACTATCCAGGCACCGCTGCGAAGTTAACCTGTGAGACAGTGGAGCACAAAGGCTTCGGAGAAGAAGCCGAGTTAGTGACATGCAGTACAGCCGAGTTAGCGAGATGCAGTAACAGGACATGAGTGTTAGCAAAGGAGAGAGAGAGAAGGAGAGAGAGAGAGAGAGAAGGAGAGAAGGTGCCCGGTGTATTATAGGGGGTCCTCCGGCAGACTAGGCCTAAGTCAGCCTAACTAGGGGCTGGTACAAGGCAAGCCTGAGCCAGCCCTAACTATAAGCTTTATCAAAAAGGAAAGTCTTAAGTTGAGTCTTAAATGTAGAGACGGTGTTTGCCTCCCAGACAGGAAGATGATTCCACAGGAGAGGAGCCTGATAGCTGAAGGCTCTGGCTCCTGATGAACGTTTGGAGACTTTAGGGACCACAAGTAACCCTGCATTCTCAGAGCGCAGTGTTCTGGTGGGATAATATGGCACTATGAGCTCTCTAAGATATGACGGGACCTGACCATTTAAAGCTTTGTAAGTTAACAGTAGGATTTTAAATTCAATTCTGAATTTTACAGGGAGCCAGTGCAGAGAAGCTAAAACAGGAGAAATATGATCTTGTTTCTTAGTTCCTGTTAGTACACGTGCTGCTGCGTTCTGAATTAGCTGGAGAGTTTTTAAGACTTATTCGAGCTACCTGATAATAGGGAGTTACAGTAATCAAGCCTAGAGGCAACAAAAGCGTGGACCGATTTTTCTGCATCTTTTCGGGTCAGGATAGGCCTAATTTTCGCAATATCACGCAGATGAAAAAAAAAAACTGCAGTCCATGAGGTTTGTTTTAAATGGGAATTAAAAGACAGATCTTGGTCAAATATTACTCCGAGGTTTCTTACGGTAGTGCTAGAGGCCAGAGCAATGCCATCCAGAGAAACTATGTCATCAGATAAAGACTCTCTGAGTTGTTTAGGGCCAAGAACAATAACTTCAGTTTTGTCTGAATTTAACATAAGGGAATTGGTGCTCATCCAAGTTTTTATGTCTTTAAGGCATTTTTGAAGATTAGTTAATTGATCAGTTTCTTCTGGCTTTATCGATAAATACAATTGAGGGAATTTCTTTAGATCTGACACAACCATTCACTTGGACTTAACGATAAACCGATTCAGTTTTGAAGGTCAAACAAGGCCACTGATATCATGCATCCGTCTCATTCTCATGAACGCAATATCTCAAGAAGGCGCTGAGGGAGTTTCCTCATATTTGGCACAAACTTCCACTTGAGCGCAAGAATGAACTAATTAGAGTTTGGTGGTCAAAGGTCAACATCACTGTGACCTCACAAAACATGTTTTTGGCCATGGCTCAAGAATCCATGCTTGATTTTTAAATGATTCAGAAAAAAATATAACAAAACTACACACAAATGTCTAACAGGATATAATTATGAAGTGATGACATTTTATATCCAAAAGGTCAAAGATCAACTTCTACATGACATCATAATGTTCTACAAAAACACTTTTCTGGCCATTACTCACTGTCATAACTCAGGACCAGAAGGGAAGACATTTGGCCAGATACTGAACTGATGAGTGTGAAGCATCTATGTTTTTACAGACATGTATTTAAAATATAAATGCAACTTGACTGGTTCACTAAGGCATACAACCGTACGGCGGTAATTCCAGCTTGACCCACAGTAGTATCCTGTTCATGTACTGTACAGTAGTAAGGTTCCTGTTGGATGTGAACAAATTCTGAGTGACTCCTGGATGTACTGATTAGTATCAAGTAAGCTAGCAGGAGACAACATGTAAAATAGACAACTTTGTAGTCCATGGGAGGTCTGCACTTTTTGCACTCTTTGCACTTAGTGGTTAGCATAGCTCTGTTGCTCTTAGTTCACTTGCTTCTGGTCGATGTCCTACAAGTTAGTTAGGCTATATTTCATCAGTGTTCTCATCTGATTTTGGGTAAGGCAGCATTTTAAGTATAAAGTGCTCCATTTTAACAGAAAAACTAACAAACAGAAAAACTTTAAATCTATCAATCTCATTGTAACATTACAGATACATTTGACATATGATAGCCTGACACCTCTTCCCAACATAGCGAGCGGGCAAAGTCTGGTGAATGGAGCATGAAAAATTGTCCAGATACACTACAAACAACTTCCAGGGAGCCTACCGAGCCTTTGGTGAGCCTAAGCAACAGCTTGCTGTTGCTCTGAAAATAGGTTGGAGGTGTGCGAAGCTTCAGCGAAATGGAGCCAGGGCGAGCTTTTTTCAAACAAGCGACATGTCACTTTGCCTGTTTGCTAACGCATGAAGCAGATTAGGACATCTTCATTGGGAAACACAGAAACAACCTGATGTTTGCTTGCTCACTCATTCTCATCACATCCAGGTAGGAAGAGGTCTTAAACGGGTAATATCTCTAAAATGTTGGCCAGTATTCCCTCTCATTTAAGCTCTGTTTTCATCTCCACCAACTCCTGAGAAACATATTTCCTATTAGCTGCTTTTCACCTTTTAGTCGCTAACTAGCACTTTGTAACAGTTTTTACTTTTATCAGAGGGCTTTGTTAGTCATCATGGTTTCGTGTTCACCCACAACAATGACGCAAGAAGCAGTTTTATATCTATAGTACATAGCCACACAGTCATTTATCAAAAACCCCTTCTACCACTTATCTCCATCAAACTAAATTACCTTTCTCTCACATTTTAGAACGGGCTGTCTCCTCTTCACATGGCGGCACAAGGTGACCATGTTGAATGTGTCAAACACCTTCTGCAGCACAAGGCTCCTGTTGATGATGTCACGTTGGACTACTTGACAGCGTTGCATGTGGCAGCTCACTGCGGTCACTACAGAGTCACCAAATTGCTGCTGGACAAGAGGGCCAACCCCAATGCCAGGGCACTGGTATGACACCAACTTAAACAATTGTCCTGTGGAAACCAGTCATAAGATACAAGTCGCAAGGACAATTTAGTCAAGCCATATGTACTGTTTAAAGACTGAGATGTCTCTGATGACTAATATCATGTGGTTTCATTGTTTGCTGTAAGTGTGTGTGCCATGTTTCTCCAACAGAATGGCTTCACTCCGCTGCACATAGCCTGTAAGAAGAACCGAGTGAAAGTGATGGAGTTGCTGGTCAAATATGGAGCCTCTATCCAGGCCATTACAGAGGTACAGCATGCACCTGAGTGAAACTGAGATCAGCACACATGTTTCTCTGAACCTGTTGGGGCTACCAGATGGGTCCAGGTCTAGTTGGTAACATGTATCTGGCTTTACCTTGCAGGCTCCATTACCCACGGTACATTCTAGCAAATGCCATCACAGGCAAAAGGAGGAAGAGGAGAAACATGATTTTTTTACAGAATATATCTCTTATGTAATACTGTTTAAATATAGTGAGATTCTCAACAAATATGACAAAGAGTTAGTTTCATAAAAGTTACCAACTGTAGCTGTAAGGTCAGTTTCACTGTTAATGAGTTCAAGCTTTGACTTGTAAGCAGACGAATGTGTTATGTCTTTTAACTCCCATAGCTGCAGCTGGATAGTTTAGAACATATTTGAAAGAGGTGGGAATCACCAGAGGACCCACAATACCATATTATCATGATACGTAGGTCATGGTATGATTTTATTGCGATATGCTGAGTGTATTACGATATATTGGGTTTAAATTATTTTTTATTTTCATTGGATCTCGTAAATATTTCATTAGCAGATGTACATTGGTTTCATTCGATCTCCTGAACATTTTTATGTGTACAAATATGGCCCATGCCTACCCCAGTCTCTCATCCTCCCATATGCACACACAGAGAAAAAAAAACAAAAAAAAACAAAAAAACAAAGCATAAATCAAAAACAGACAAATGACAGCACACACACACACAAGAAAAGATAATAAAATAATAATAATAATAATGATAATAATAATAATAATAATAATGAATATAAATACATGCACAGTGACAAATTAGATGTACTTATGAATCATGTTTTTCTAATTGAGTATATAGTGGATACCAAAGGTCATGGAATAAGTAGCCCGATGTGTTTTCCAAGTGTTATTTTTTCTAAAGGGAGAAATTGAGCTATGTGATCTAAAAACATACTAAATGTTGGTGACAGTTCATTTTTCCATAAGAGAAGTATTTCTTAGCAAAATATGTGATGATGATCAACAGTCTACATTTCTTTGATTCTAAATGACTGTTAGTTATGTCGTTTAATAAATAAACACATGGGCATAACTCAAATTCTTGTTTTAAAAATTATTTTGTAAATGAATGAATCATGTTCCAAAAATTCTTCAGTTTGTCACATTGCCAGAACATATGCAAGAATGTTCCTTCTTGAGTTTTGCATCTTGGGCAATTTGGTGAGTTTTCTTTGGAAATTTTTATGCACTTTTATAGGAGTAAGATAGAATTTATGAATAAATTTAAAATTAGTTTCTTTAATCTTATTACTACTGGAAAGAATATTCTATCACAGATGTTTTGGCAAGCGTTTTAATCTAATCTCATCGCCAGATCTGTCTCCCAGCTCTTTTATAGGGCGGGGAAAACTGCTTGGCCACCGTTAATTAACGTATCATATAATTCACTAATTTGGCCTTTAATTGTGGATGAGGTAGTTAATTTCTCTTTCAATTCAGTCAGTTCAAAGTTCAGCTTGTTTTCTTTAATAAGTGAACATACAATACAGGTCTTTGGGCTCTAGTTTCGCAGACCGGGCGCTTCGCCAACTGGGTGTGGCCAGGCGGATTTTGTAAGTTTGGCACACCGTGCGCCTGGCGCAGCTACTCCTCTTTCCCACCTCCGTCCCTCCGACCGGCGCAAGTCGGAAAGGGGGAAGAGAGAAGGCATGGAGTGGGTTTTACACATCACACCAATCAAATGAGCCCCTCTCCTCGCCCTTAAATGCGCCGCGCGAAGGTGTAATGAGAGTTTACTCAATTCGCCATTGCAGAAGAGAGCAGCAGCGTCAGATGGCCAAACTCCTCCCAGGAGGAAACTTATGTTTTGGTCCGGGAGGTCTGCTCGCAGTGTCCGAATATACGGAACTGCGAGCAGACCTCCACGGGCTGATGATGCAAAGGTAGCCTGGGAGGAGGTCACCACAATTGTAAATCAATGTTGTGTTTCTCTCGTGCGCGCACGCGCGCTCTCTCTTTTTCTCTCACAGTCTCACTCTGTTTCTTTTCTTTTGACTTTTCTAAGATGACAGATGCTGAATATATACTCCCTATCTTATGCTGTGGCTTATTGTGGTTGGCTGAGAGGGATGTGAACTCATTAGTTTGCAGGCTGTGTTAATCAAATCAGGTTGGGTTCCCATTACGCGTGCCAAACGTGCCAAACGGTGCCAATCCCTTTTGATCTGACATCAGATGTGACGGGACAGTCGATACAGAGATAGATTTATGTGCTGATTGCAGATAGTTGCATTGAATAGTGGTTTTTGTGGGTATTTATTGCATTGTTAATGTGCCTGATATTCTGGAAACCTGCCTGTGAGGTTTTGGTGACGTGTGCGCACTGTCCGCCGGTCAGCCAAACTTCGGCTGACACCGGCTGCGCTGACAGTAGACCTGGTTTCAGATGGCGAGCTTTTAGCGCACCTTCGGTGAAGCCTTTTGGCACGAAACTGTCACTGCGCCAAGCTGGATCTGTTGACACCTCCCCCTGCTGTGCCGCCACACCCATCTCAGCGCACCTCGGTCTGCCAAACTACCAAACTGAGCGCGCCTCGGGTTGCGCTGCTCAAAACTAGCTCTGTGCGGGGTTCGCCACCCTGCACCCCCTGTGCTGCGCCGGGAAACTAGAGCCCTTTAAGTTATGATATATTGGGATATATTACCTTTTCTTACAGCTGTAAAGTATTTCTCCAAAAGAAAACTTTGTCAACATCAGTTTTATCTCAAAAGATAAAGTTTTCAGTCTGTTCATCTGACTTCAATAATTGTTATTGCAGCAAAATGTGATGCAAAGCAGACACGGCTGTCAGTGAAAAAAAGTCACATACCTGGGTTCCTGTGTTTTTAGCATAACAAAAGCCTTGGTTTTCAACAGCGCTGTATGGACACAGATCTTTGCATATTAAGTAGATGATGGACTGTGTTATTTTCTTAGCTCTCTCAGATGAAGATGGTAATTTTGTCATGCTAAGTGCATCCACTGTTGGTTGTTTTTTTTTTTTGCCACAGTGGGTTTAGCGATAGCTTGGCCTTCAGCGGCTAACGCTATCTCTGGATGGTGGAGTGTGAGGTGAGCCCTCATGTTCGTAGTATTCGCAGAGTACGTTATTCTCATATTCTCAGACACTGCTTGCAAATCACGTATCATATCCAAGTCCTCCTTTCCATCTGTGTTAAAAAATCCAAAATAAGTCCAGATGTTTGATTAAATCGCCAACGGCACATTTCTGGGATCTGTCTCTGGTGCCTCCATCTTTGTTTTGATGAACTTCCTGTCAAATGCTGATGACCTCATTGTGAAAAAAAAACATCAGCACCATCTAGTGGGCCGAAAAAGCAATTGATTTTATTATTCTAGTACCAAAAGTTGTGATAAAATGTGTATTTGCAAAAATTAATCATGTATATGATCAAAGATTGATATTTGGTATCCCTTTATTGAAACAATATCGCTACGCAAAATATCGGGATACTATGCTGTATCGATTTTTTACCCCCACCCCTATTACTTGACAATGGTACTGCAGTTGAAAACCCAGTGCTTGTGCTCTTGTGCAGTTACGTTTAGGTGAGGCTGATGTCACAGTAAAAGTGAAGGAGAAATCAATCAACTGTTGTACAGCCTGTTTCAAATAACAGAATATATGGAGCTGTTTTATTAATAGCATGATAGTTGGCACAATAATAAGATTAATGTGATTAATGGGAAATAGATGAAAATATTATGGTTAGGCTAATTATTAATTGTCTAATCTGATCAAAGATATTTCCATCTTTGCTGTTTTCATAATAACTAAACAGCACAGAAGGTTACATTAGAGCAGATAGAGAATGTACCAGTATCATGTAATAAGATACACCCTAATTGATCCCACAGTTGAGAAATTCCAGCCTATACCTGCTCTAATACTACTGTTTAGCATATTAGCACAAATTTCATGAGCTCTCTTTGAGAAACAAATACACATCCAACATGACTGACATGGTATCCTGTTGTTTCTCTTTTGCTTCTGTTTCTGTGTTCAGTCTGGTTTGACTCCCATCCACGTAGCAGCCTTCATGGGTCACCTGAACATTGTCCTGCTGCTGCTGCAGAACGGAGCCTCGCCCGATGTCAGCAATATTGTGAGTGATGGGAAGCAAGCCAATCACACAGACAGGGAAAGTCATTTGCAATGTATTTATTTTTAAATGAGAAAAGTGTCTGAAAATAGCATAGTGAGTACTCAGCTAACTATTTCAACTGAAATATGTGCACATTTCAGTGGAATATTTTGTGTATTGACTGCGCTGACCCATGTGTTGCCATGTGTTGTGTGCACAGCGTGGAGAGACAGCGTTACACATGGCAGCCAGGGCAGGTCAGGTGGAGGTGGTCAGATGTCTGTTGAGGAATGGCGCCATGGTGGATGCCAGGGCAAGGGTGAGACTGCTGTTATGTATGATGGCACACAAGAGAACACTTTGTACCTAAGTGTTTTTCCACCATGCAAAGTATGTGTGTTCATTCTTAGTCTACTGTGTTGTCTTCAGGAGGACCAGACTCCCCTCCACATTGCATCCCGTCTGGGAAAAACAGAGATTGTGCAACTGCTACTGCAACACATGGCCCATCCTGATGCTGCCACAACCAACGGCTACACCCCCCTCCACATCTCAGCCAGGGAGGGTCAGGTGGAGACAGCCTCTGTCCTGCTGGAGGCCGGAGCTTCACACTCACTGGCCACCAAGGTGGGTTGAGGAGATATGGTCAAAAGGATCAAAGGTGGTCCTGACTCCCAGCCATGAGGGGAATACACTGAATGAGAAAATCCATATCAGTCTTAAGGAGTCAGGACATGATTAGCCTAGTTTAACATAGAGATGAAAAACAGCTAGTCTGGCTCTGTCTAAAGTTAAACGAAAAAATATGACTACCAATCATGCGGCAACTTCTGGAGCTGTAAAATGAAACCAACATGGAAGTGTCAAAACTGCAGTTCCACTATTGGCCACTTGAGGCATGTCAAAATGTCTAACTGTGTAGCAGAAATGAACATGTTTACAGCCTGGTACAAAAAATAGTTTAGGTCTCTATAGTTAATTTCCCCCTCCATGACACCTGTACAGTGGTGAATTTTTTTTTATGTAATTCACCCATTTACTGGTAATGGTAATGGACCTGCATTTGTATAGTGCCTTTCTAGTCATCCAATCACTCAAAGCTCTTTTTACACTACAAGTAGTCTCTATATACAGACTCTACAATCAGTGAATGTAGAGTCTGTAGGCAAACCCCGGAGCTCTTGCCTCCAGAAGAAGAGCGGAAGAGCCCTGGTTTCCGGTTGTAGGCTGTTTGTAGTCCGCGTGATATTGATCAATCATGTTTGAGCCGGCTGCAGTTGTTGCCAGGTTAAACGGTCCGTGCAGTGAACTAACGAGGCGGAACATAATTGACGTCACTGCAAACTCTGAATCCATCGCAATGGTTCAGCATATTTACTTACATATAAATGGAAGGAAATGGAAATTCGCCTCCTCCGCCCAAATCAAACCGGAATGCCAAAAAATCAGGGGTCTGCCCCCAGAAGCTGTATCACCGTCTGCTGGAGATCAGACGCCAAATACAGCCGATGGGTTCCGAGAATGCACTACAAGTCACTGTCACCCATTCACACACACATCCATACACTGGTGGACGAGGCTACCATACAGGGTGGCACCTGCCACTCAGTTTTTAACACACTCACACACCAATGGAAGTGTTGGGGTCAACATTTGAAGCTTCACACAGAGGCACCAAAAATGTTGGGGTCAACACATTAGGCTTCACACGGAGGCACCAAATATGTTGGGATCAACATATTAGGTCTCACCAAGGGGCACCAAATATGTTGGGATTTAATTGGCTATCGGAAATAATTAATAATTATTAATAATAATTAATAATCATGTTAAATAATGTGACTTAATTAACATTAAATCACATCGTGGGGCACCATTCCCATAAAAGGAAAAAATGATACGCTAAACTATTAATTTGGAGTTTGATTAATAATTAAATTAATGACAACAACCAAAATTAACAGTAACGCCTGAAGGATTTCGGAGTTCTTGATGCAGCAGAGGTTGACTATTCATTCACTGTGAACATTAAACATACAGTAGGTATGATTCCAAAGAATTATATTTATTCACAAACTAGCAAAGCAAACCAAAACACACAAATTCTAACTAACTATATACAAGCTTGGTGTGTGTATGTTGTGTGTGTGTAGAAAGAAAGACAAAGGCGGGTGTGGTGATCAAAGAGCTGTTTGGCCTACAAAACAAAATGGCTGACAACAGAGAACTACCAAAATGGCCGAATCAAGGCTGGCTTCCGGTCGGGGAGGTGTTTATCTGACCGTGTGGTCAGGACAAAGACAAAGGAAAAGAAGCGGGAACTTTGAGATGCCTGTTTGGGTGTAGCTCTGTTGAAAGCCTGTTTGTTAATGAGTCTATGTGAATGTGATTTGTGTTGCAAATGGTCTGGATTAGTGCAGAGATTGTTTAGTTGGGTGCAAGAATCTGTTTGTGAACAGTATTAGCAAACTAGACACTTAGCTTTGGCGAAGCCAACTAATCAATGACCTGACTGCAAACTATCACAACAATAACTCAATGAACAGCATCAAATCACCTACAACAAGTTAAACAGTCTTGCTTAGCCTGTAAAGCTGTGATAAGCTATGCCCAGTTGTTACATTACAGATCCTTGAATGGATGGGAGAAAGAGTCACTTGGTGGTGTACTGCTTTGTTAGCCGGCAGAAGAAGGCTGGGAAGATGGTTCCAGGTGCAGTCTTTGTTGTGTCCTTTGTTCCAAAGGTGAAACTCCAAGGAAGCTGGTCGCTCAGGGTTTAGCAGAGTTAGACGCTGGGTGCTAACTCACTTAGTTCCTTGTTGCTGGAAAGCTAGTTGCAAACCTTGTGTTTGCAAGAGAGTCTATGATCCATTGCCCTCCGTTTAGTGGTTTGGGGCTATGGAGCAGGGGTCTGGGCCTCTGTGCTGTTCCAGGCCCAAGAGGTGTGAGCTGTTGAAATTCCAGAGCAAGAGAGAGAAAAGGCTTGGAGGGAGCAGACCTTGTACAGATGCCTGTGACATCAGAGTCACATGTCACTGTAAAAGTCCTGTCCAATCAAGTTGTGAGACTTGTGTCTCATTGAGGTGTGAGGTGATCACCTGTGGAGATGGGTGTCACCTAGCTCTCTTTGTTTGAAGACATAGAGCATGCAGAGGAAAAAGCCTTTAAATGCCCAATGATGATTTTACCAAATGATAAATCATCTGTGGTCCTGTGAATCCCAACAGAAGCATCATTGGGAGCAATTTGGGGTTCACTATATCTTAATCAAGGATACTTCAACATGCAGACTGGAGGAGCCGGGGATCAAACTGCTGATCTTCCAGTTGGTGGACAACCCACTCTACCTCTGAGCCACAGCCGCCCCAAATGTTATTAAGGCTTAAAGTTATGCATAATTTAGGGTGTGGCTGCTTTGAGTGACAGGTGGTTCCCGCATGTTGACAAGTCATTACGACGATGACAGTGTTAGATAACTTAGCTTAACACTGACATCAGAGTCCTGCATGGGTCCATTTTTGAAAGCCTGCAGCTGCCCATACCCGTAAAGTTTAGTACCAGAACTGACCTGTTAACCATATGTCTAAGTCAAAGCTGCACCCGCCCGCACCCATTAATAAAAGTCCCGTAACCTGACCCACACCTGTGAATAAACACACACAGGCTACAGTCGCTCCATTAAAGCTGGGGTCTCTGTTGTTGATTTACAAATCCAACGGACGAAAAGTCTCTTTCACTGGCTGCGCTTGATGCTGGGATGGCAAAAACATTCAATCACTGCCAGGTTAGGAAACATTTTATCATTCTCCTTTCACCACCATAAAATCTCAAAAGGATCCTCCTTGGGTGTCTTAAACTCGATGTAGGCTGCCACCTTACTCCTGGACTGTAAAGTTTCATGGCTGGAGTCCTCCATGTCAGTGATGAATGTGATGACAGGGTCAAAGGACTTGTGTGATCGACTTTAAAAATAAAAGGAATTTCAGCTTGATAATAGTGATTTAGGTGTCAAAATATTACATATACTGCACATCCTTTTCATCTGTCTTATTCTAAAAAATAAAAATAGATTTTTGTTCTCACCCGCTGCCCACCCACATGCAGTTCATTTTTACCCATGTCTGTATCCATGAATTTATATACTTATTTTTATCTGTAACACAGCTTTTTGCAGGTTACCTGTTGGGTACCTGACCTGGCGCAGGACTCTGACTGGCGTAACCCCAGATTCAGTATAGGCGTAGCTGTAGCAGTTGCTATTTCAGTGTACTTTCAGTTCATGAAAGTTAATTGTAATGTCTTGGTTGCCTAAAAAGTCTTGTTGAGCTTTTGGTTATACTTAAAGGGGCAAAAAGCGAAATTGTTTCACCACTAGGTTTGCTGTTGTGCACTGCCTGTAGACCAAAACAAAGTGTGTCATGAGCCACTCCTCCCTCTACCTCTGCTGTCCACCCCCCACCCCACTCGCCTCATCTGTGCAGCCGAGGACCGCAGCATCTCCATGGACTATTACATCCAGACGGTCCCGGTGTTTCTTCTACAGGCTCCACTTCACTCAGCTGCCCGATATACCCGCTCCTTCTTCCCACATTAACCTGAATAACAAACCAGGGCTCGGTGCTCCGGTTGGATCCAAACAGAGAGCCGGGGCTAACGTTAGCTGGGAAGCTAGCAGAGGCTAACTGGCTGTGCTGGCAGCTGAGTGAAGTGGAGCCTGAGGAGGAAGCACCGGTTAGCCCCCGCTAGCTGGGAGGCTAGCAGAGGCTAACTGGCTGTGCTGGCAGCTGAGTGAAGTAGAGCCTGAGGAGGAAGCACTGGTTAGCCCCGGTTTCACTATAGGCAGATTCACTCGCCACAGGGGCGAGGAAATAAAACCTAAACAGCCAACTCAGTATGGCTTAGTTTAGCAGTTAGCGATGTTTTTCACTCACTCTCAGTCTCTGCTGTGTTTAGCTATTTTCTTTCCTGTTAGTGTTAGCACTAGTCGGCTGCCACGCTAACGTCCCTACTCTTCTCCGTGAGCCTGGCAGGCTCGCCATTAGCTCCTGGAGTTAGCACTAGAGCTACTACGGCTACTGGAGTAACTTACAGCTCTTCTAGTCACTGAGCCTCGCCTCCATCTCAGCAAATATATTACATTTATTACAGGTACCATCATCATTGAAGTAGGCAGGAAAATAGCTAAACACAGCCCGCCAGGCTGCCCACCAGGCTGCCACCCGCCAGGCTACATTTTACAATGCTAATTGCAAATGTTAGCTGGGCTGCCGGGCTACTCACCTAACACAACTGTAACGCCTGACCCATTGCTGGGACAGAGCCGCTAATAACTCAAGCTCTGGACATTAACCAATGCTACGATTGTAAGGGTTTCACATGAACGTACATGAACGCGCAGCTGGACTTGAGGCTTCAAATCCATAGAGTTATAATAATAGCTAGATAACAGATCCCAAGATGGCGCCTATTCATTTCAATAAAATTTTTTGCCTTGTGCATACACCAAAAAAAGTTTATAGTCTCTGGGTTTACCTTCCCGGTATGCTGCCCACTGAATATGTGCAGTAGTGTTTTTCCTGCTGACCCCGCCCACAAGTTCCCACTCCTCTCATAGACTTTACATTGTGATGACGTCACAGATTTTTAAATCGCTTTTCTCTGTTCAAGAAAAGTTTTCCAAATGTTTAACCACCAGGGATGAAAAAATCATAATAGAAAGAGTCATAATTGACCTTGTTGTTTGAGGTGTCCTGCCAACAGTTTTACAGGTGTCTCTTTGATTCCGGTGGTTTATAGACCCTTTGACTGTTAGTTAACAGTATGACGTTTTTGGTGGGCAGGGCTTAGCTAGAGGCATAACTACTTAGATATTAGCTAGCACTAACTAGCAAGTTCTGTTGGGTTTTCTTCGACAATGGAGGAAGATGAGGCGTGTGGTGCATTCAGAAATACTCATTCCGATTGCCAGAGCGCACTCCAGAACAAAATGGACTGTTCGTAAATTCGGATTAGTTATCCAGAGCCTGGGGAGACGGAGCAGCAGAGCGCCAGGTGGAGAGAATGTGTGATTAACTTAACCGTTCATTAATTCATATACATTAATGGGTTTTTTTTTGCAGCAATACTGCGAGTGGCCACTAGGAAAACTTGACTGCAAGGCTGAGCAGCGTTCCAGAGGGTCTGTTCAAATTGGGATTCCATTAACCAATGGGTGACGTCACGGTTACTACATCCATTATTTGATGCTAGCAACACCTTTAAAGCTCCCTGACTCATGTTGTATTTTGTTTAATAAGCGCACAAACAGAAATTTACTAACAACAGTCTTTGGTTTGAGGGGGAACTGCATGCTGGGAATATTTCCTCACTTCGAACAGAGCCATGCAAGCTGTTCCTCCCTGTCTTAAGTATGTATGCTGAGCGGGGCTATGTTTATTGCCCATGAATCCAACCTTTCATTTGTGAGAATGAGTGAAAATAATGTGTTCTCCTCTCAAATGTTACATATAATCTTTCTTTAACCACAGAAACAAATTATGGTTTCAAGAAGAATATGAGCACCATTCCAAATGCAGTGACCCTTTAGTTGGTAATCTAATAGGGAACTGCTAGCCATCAGATGTCAATAACTGCTAATCCTCTTTAAAAAGCATGCATTTTGGTCATTTTCTTTTTGGTCTGCTTCTTGGTGTGGTGTTTTAATACCTCCCAAGCTGAAATGTCATTTATTGCTGTGGAAAATCTGGTTACCACAGCAGTAATGGATAGACATTACAGTATGTACTGTAACAGATAAGAGTAGGGGTTAGAATTGGTTATGTGCATTATAAATACAAACAATTTCTACAACAAAATCTGCTGAAATGAATGCAGCTAATGCTCATTTCCACCTCAGGATACATCTTAATATCTTACCAGCATGGAACAAATATGCAGTAACAGCTATTTGTAGTACAGGATGTACAGATGAAGGAATAAGCTGTAGGTGCTATAGGTGCTGATCCCATGGTGCCCTCAGACAAAGAGGATACAGTGTTACTGTATGTACAGGTCTCTGTCTGTCTGACCCACTTATGGTGAATGATTGATGAGACTGAAAAGCCTTCTGAACACAGTCAAGTGATTTATCGTCATCACTGTGGAGCTGCACAGGCAACATCTTCACGTTACATCCAGGACAGGACAGATTAGTCCTTTAATGTATTCATACACTAAGGGGGAGACAAAGCACTTCCTGGTGGAGTGTGTTAGTCAGGGTTGAGCGGCTCTTCTCTCTCCCACCCCTGATGTCTCTCTCCTGGTTCCTCTCTGGGGATGAAGGGTGTAGCTGTTGCTATAGAAACCAAATTAAGAAAAGTTGTTGTCATGCGAGGGTAACACCCCATCCATGCGAGCATGGTCATGATAGTCATTTTCCTTAAATTGCTTCGACTATTGCTCTCCACATCTCACTTTAATGAGATCCTCTCCCCTCTCCTTCATCCATCCCATCAGGGTTATTTTTTCTTCTTTTATCCAATCGTGCATTGCATCATGTTTAATCTGAGGTTTGTCAAACAAAGGATTGCTCCAACCATGGAAGGGCTGGGTCATAAACAATCTGGTCATGTGATTTCTGTCAGCTGCAGTCTCTTTCTTTATTTCAAAGTAGTTTAAGTGCCCCCTCTGCTGGTTTTATTATGAAAGTTAAATTATTTTGGTTGATAGTTACCTACAGTTGCATCAGCATGTCAGCCAGCTGAGAGTTCTTTATTGTTATATATCACAACAGTCCATTAGGCCTCAGATAATCTTATCTGACAAGATTTTGTCCCAGGAACCCTGAAAGGGACAGTCCACCCAAAAATCAAAAGTCATTATTTTTCCTCTTCTAAATAGTTTTGGTGTGAGTTGCTTAGTGTTGGAGATATCAGCCACACTGATGTCTGCCTTCTTTCCAATATCATGGAACTAGATGGCACTCGGCTTGTGGTGCTCAAAGTGCCAAAAAATACATTTGAACAACTCAATGAAAGAAAATAGTTCCTACATGAAACTGCTCACAACAAGGTCTTTGGATTATCTTGAGTAACCGGCTCCTGATTTCTGGAAACAGACATTGCTGTTGAGTGGTGGTTTAAGCACCACAAGCTAGGTGCTAGCTAGTTTCATTATATTGGAGATATCGACAAGACTCTTAAACTCAATCCAAAACCATATAGATTGATAAATGGTACTACAGGACTGAAGTTGACCTAAATTAAGGTATATCTAGATATCTTGACATTACTGTCTTTAAACACATTTTCTGTCTCTCCTTTGTGGCTGTTTCTCTTCACAGAAAGGTTTTACTCCCCTGCATGTGGCCTCCAAGTATGGAAGCCTAGATGTAGCCAAACTTCTGCTGCAGCGTCGTGCCCCACCTGATTTTGTTGGGAAGGTATGCATCCAAGATAAAAACATTCTGACTATATCTTTATAGTTTTTAGTGTACAGTATGATCTATCATGTCCACCCTTTGAATGATATGGTGAAGTCCGAATCCTGTATGTTATTTGTAAAAAGTTTTAAAATCTAAAACGTGTGTTGCCATTTTTCTTTATTGAGGTTAAGGTGACCACAGTAGCCCTGGTAAGCCTAGTTTGAATAAAGCCATTGCTTCATTTGGATTAACTATGATTTATTTCAGAAAACATTAAACAGATAACAGATGCCATTTACATAAAATTCGTTTTTTGTTTTTTTTCATTGAATATGTAGTTCCTTGCAACATAATAAGGAGCCAGTCAGTGAAGCTTCCAGCTTTTGTTGTCTAACATAACTCTTATTCATCTCAACCTGCAGACTTGTGCTTTTCAACACTGTCTCTTAACTGTGTGTGTTAGTGTGTGTGGTGTTAATGGCTTGTTGCTGCACTAACTGCTGTTTAATCCATGTGCACTCACCGTCCATACCTTACAGAATGGCCTCACCCCACTCCATGTTGCAGCACATTATGATAACCAGAAGGTGGCACTCCTGCTTTTGGACAAAGGAGCATCCCCTCACACCATGGCCAAGGTGAGAGTCCTCAGCCAACTGGGCTGAACATAAGTGGGCAAACGGGGGAAGCTTTCTGGGGCCCGGCTGCTTTAAACAACAAAAATATACATAGTGTTTCTTCAAAATGAAGCCTGTTTGCTAATGAAAAGACCTCTCCTTAATTTGGTGTAAGCCTTTTTTGGTATGCAGCTGTTGTGGAAAAAAAAATGAATAGCCAACATAGCGAATTCCCTGCTATGCCAGGACCTGCACTGAAATTGGGATGCCAGAAAAGAAGAAAAGAGGGACTGAAAAGGGCTTTAAACCCCAATAATAATGTAATGAACACATTTTTCCAGTCAACTCAGAAAGCTGCCTCCACACAGGCTGACAAGGCAAATGAAATCCAGGAGGCTAACGTTACAGCTAACATTTCCATCCAGGGGCTAGGGTAGTGTATATATTAAGTAGAAAAGAAAGAGAGCATGTGCATGTGTTGACAAAAGTAAAGCAAATTTGTGTAGAGATAATGGGAAGATGGAGTGGAAGATTAATTGTCAAGTCAAGATATTACAAGTAGTGGACAGTTAAGTCAGAAGGTACAACATGTTTTTTTGTTGTTGTTTTTTTTAGATGTGGTTCTAAAATTAGCCTTAAACTGGCATCCCTTTTTCTCAGTCATCGTAACTGAGTCACATCTGATCACACAGCCATCATAAACATACAGTTGGAACTGTCAGAAATCTTTCCAATGGTAGCAGTGGAAAAGATGAAATCTACTAAGAAAGGTCTCTTATGTTGCATTGGTGTCTTACCTCATGATAGAACATTAAAGCTTAGTGAGTTGTGCCACTTGACAGTAGATGGGACAATAGCTAGCTGAAGTCAGGAACTGTCATAAAGCCACAGCTCCCATGTAACGAAATCATATATTGCATTCAAACAAATAGCGCACTCTAGCGCCTCACTGTTTCAAATGCGTATTGCAACAGTGGTAGCCGCTGTGTACCAAAAAGCTATGATAACATTGATGTAACCATGTCATCCGATACTTCATGGAGTATTCATTCAGGCTCCTACACAGACACACGTGACGCAAGTTGACAAACCCCCTCCTCACCATGCTGGCTGTGTTTACAACGTAGGACTGTTGGGGTGGGTGTAAATCGAAACAAACCAATCCCTTCTTGTCTTTTGACAACTGACAAGTGGCTCAACCTCACACACCTCATCCCTCTCCTCGCATCACTGAGCCGCTGACAGAGGTGCTGGCCGCCAACAGAGGCTAACAGCTGTTAGTGTGATTGCATTACCTTTCTCCTTCAGCAGCTCTTTCCACCTGGGAAAGGCTACCCTGATGTAAAACCTCGTTTTTTGAATTCGCCGGTCAAGTTGCCTTTTTGATTCCCTTCTGCGCTTTCTTGGCGACGAGGATTCCGTCTCCCGTGATGCTGCATATGCATGATCCTGCATTATGCTCAAAGAGTGGGACTTTGTTAAGCTGCAGTAGTGCTGGGGTAGTGGCGAAGCACCTCTTGCTCCTCTCCTTCGGCTTTTCAGTCACGCAGCGCTGGCCTGGCTCTCAACCAAAACGCCAAAGGCAGGGCTGTATATCCCTTGCTGGCGGACGTATTCTCAAGATGGCGAAACGTTATGGAACCCCGCCAGACGACTTACCCACACAATGTACAAACAAATTCGAAATTCTCCTTTTACGAGAATAAGTCAGATTATTGGTGGAAGTAATGTGACACCAATGACGACATATTTATGAATGCAGACATCAGTTTTTGCTAATTAACAACTGAAAATGTTACACAGTGTCCCTTTAAGGTGCATGTAAAATAGTCTTATTTAAAATCAGATTTTTGTCAATAATTGTCTTTTTTTTATCATAGACACCTCAAACCAACTATATTTTAATTTTGGCCTCCTCTGAAAACCAGTTGTTTAGAAAAAGTCCTGAAAAATGTCCCAATGGGCAATTCTGACTCCTTCACTGTTAAAAGGTCCTTCCCCAGCAAGTAAAAAGGTGATTGCAAAATACTGCCCCCAGAAAAACTGTCCCACTACTAAGCATTTTGTCAATATTACTAAACACTTACATCTTCTAGAACAGATGGCCTATTCCATACCTATTATTGTATGTACCATGTGTGACATCCTACTTTAAATTAGGAAAATTTGCCTTGACTTTTTAATAGGGCTGTCAAGCGATTAAAAAAATGAATCTAATTAGTAACCTGCTCTGTGATTAATTAATCTCAATAATATAAATCATCAACTTTTGCCGTGAAAGTATTTTTAAAAATTCACTTCAAATGAATTTTGGCACAAACAGAGTAGATATGGAAAATTAAGGGTCAGCTTGCTGGGAACAAATAGCCCTTATGTTAGTAGATTCAGGAAATGACCGGAAATTCATTTTGAAATAATATACTTTTTAATCTTTGGGCTTGGGAGAAGCTATCAAGTATTTTCAAGTCATAGGCTCCAGTCCAAGTGAAGCCACAAGTCACTGGTGTTAAAGTCTAAGTCAGGTCTTTTTTTTTTATTTTGTTAAGTCGAGTCTGAAGTCATCAAATTTGTGACTTGAGTCTGACTCGAGTCCACACATCTGCTAATGGATAACTTAGAGTGAAATCAAGGCTGTTCATGTTAATTCCCAAGACACATATAGGTGTATGAGGTGTTCATCTGCCAACAAGTCAACAACAAGCAGTCAGAGTTACCAGTCAGCAGTGACAGCAGTTTCTCTCATGATTCAGAATGGCTACACTCCTCTCCACATTGCCGCTAAGAAGAACCAGATGGAAATCGCCACAGTGCTGCTGCAGTATGGAGCTGAGACCAACATCCTGACTAAACAGGGCGTCACTCCGCTCCATCTGGCCTCCCAGGAGGGCCATGCAGACATGGCTGCCGTGCTTATCAGCAAGGGAGCCCAAGTCAATGTGCAAACCAAGGTACTGCAGAAACCTGCATTGGATTTTAGTCATACATCAATAAATCATCAACACAATTAAGTTTAAATATCTTTAATTGCCCTATTATTATTTAGGGTAAAGAAATCTTAGCCAAAGGACAACATACAGTATATCTAATTACAGTGTCAAATTATCTGCAGTAGTTTATTTGACAAGACAGAATGGACAGAATGTGTCTGAATTGGTGGAACATACTAAGGGTTGTGTGTGTGCTCTTCCTGCAGAGTGGCCTAACTGCCCTCCATCTGGCAGCCCAGGAGGATAAAGTGGCTGTTGCCGAGATTCTAGCCAGGAACGGAGCCAACCTCGACCAGCAGACCAAAGTATGAACGATCATTTTGTTTATTTTACCGCATCATTTTCTGCACTCTCTCATGCCAAGATTTTATCAGTGGGGTGCCGTTTGTAAAGTGGCTCACACTGAAATTAACAGCAACATTTTGCCACATTTAGCTAACATTTGTTGTACCAACGTAGTGTGTTTATTTTGAAACAGACTGTAAATTTCCTGTGAAAATGGAAGACAATGTATGTGACAGGCTGAAGTTGACACAATGTCCCAGGGTACCTTGCACCTCATACCTCAATGTGGAAAGTCCATGACCAAATGTGGATATGTCACAAGGTCGGAGTGAGAAGGTGTTGATTTTTGTGTTATTGATAATCGGTAAAACAGATTTGCTGTTGTTTTGCAGTTGGGATACACCCCGCTAATTGTAGCATGTCACTATGGCAACGCCAAGATGGTCAACTTCCTGCTTCAGAATGGAGCCAGTGTCAACGCCAAGACCAAGGTACTGAAACTAAAGTAAAGCGCTCAGAAAGTCGTTGTTGTTTGAACTCCACATTTTTAACATTTAATATTCATTAATGCTATCATTGTATTCTGTAATTTTTATTTCTTTTTAAGATGATTATTTTTTGGGCTTTTTTGCCTTTATTGTATAGGACAGAGTGAAAGGGGGTGAGAGATAGAGAGCGGGGGGTGACATGCAGAAATGGTCGCAAGCCTGAGTCAAAACTGCGACTGCTGCAGCGAGGCATCGCCTCTGTACATGGGGCGCCAGCACTATCCACTACACTACCGACGCCCCTGTAATTTTTATTTCTAACACGCTGCTTTTACTGTTGCATCAGTGAGAGAGTTTTCTCATAAGGTCATACGATCTTTTAACATCATATTTAATGTTATCATGACATCTTTTCCTCCAAATTAAATGACTCTGTTTTGATAAGAAACTTTTGTTACTAATAAAGGCCTTAATACATCTTTTTATATCATACTAAGGCAGTGGTTCTCATCCTTTTTTGTGTCAGGGGCCCCTAAATTTATATACATTAGGTCATGGACCCAGTTTAATAATGTTCTGCTTGAGGGACCTTCATTTGAAAAGATTTTTGTTGTTAATTATGATTCAGACCATAATTCTATAGTTGTCAACTGCAGTTGGTGTTACGGGTTTTAACCAAGGGTGTGGTTTTTTGTTTTTGTATTTGTTATTTTTTTGTCGTTGTTGTTGTTTTTTATCCTCCCCAAGAAATCTGAGCATCAAACACTTTATTTCCTGCATTCTGGTGATTTTTAATGCAACAATTTGAGCCTTTTGTGCATAAAATGATGGAGGAAATGTCATGGTACTTCCTGCTTCAACTGTTCATATTTGCTTCATCTTCTTTCCTTTTATGGCAAGTTGCAACCTGTTGCATCTATGGGTCGCGTTCTCACTTATTTATTTACTTAAGCCCTTTGCTCCTCTAGGGAGCATAGGCCATTGACAAATATCTTCATTTCACTCAGTTGTTGGCAGTTTGCTCTAGATCTCCCCAGTTCAATCAATCAGTCAACCAATTTTATTTATAAAGCCCGATATCAGAAATCACAATTTGCCTCAGAGGGCTTTACAGCATACGACATCCCTCTGTCCTTTGGACCCTCACAGCAGATAAGGAAAAGCTCCCCAGAAAAACCCCTTTAACGGGGAAAAAAAATGGTAAAAACCTCAGGAAGAGCAACCGAGGAGGGATCCCTCTTCCAGGATGGACAGACATGCAATAGATGTCGTACAGAACAGATCAACATAATAGATTTACAGTATTCCATATGACAAAATGAGACATAAAGAGAGGCAAAGAGAGATGCAGGACAGACAGTAATGACAGTAGCTTACAACAACATTAATTTAAGTAATGATATTATAATAATAATTACGGCTATTGTGGTACAATATGTTGTAAGTATATGATAGTATATGTATGTGACAATAATGATATGTGTATAATAACAGTAGAAGTATGACTAATAATAACAGCAGCAGGAGGAGGCATCAGGCAGGACCACGGCAGCAGCACAACCACGTCACACAATGCAGGCACAGCTGGCATACGAGGTAACCTGCCAGAGAGTGGAGCACAAAGGCTCCGGGGAAGAAGCCAAGTTAGTGGGATGCAGTAACAGGACATGAATGTAAGCAAAGGCGAGAGAGGAGCAAAGGTACTCGGTGTATTATAGGAGGTCCCCCGGCAGACTAGGCCTATGTCAGCCTAACTAGGGGCTGGTCCAAAACAAGCCTGAGCCAGCCCTAACTATAAGCTTTATCAAAAAGGAAAGTCTTAAGTCTAGTCTTAAATGTGGAGACGATGTCTGCCTCCCGGACTGAAATAGGGAGATGATTCCACAGGAGAGGTGCTTGATAGCTGAAGGCTCTGGCTCCTGTTCTACTTTTGGAGACTTTAGGGACCAAGAGTAACCCTGCATTCTCAGAGCGCAGTGTTCTGGTGGGATAATAGGGCACTATGAGCTCTCTAAGATATGATGGAGCTTGACCATTCAGAACTTTGTAAGTTAGGAGAAGGATTTTAAATTCATTTCTGGATTTTACAGGGAGCCAGTGCAGAGAAGCTAAAACAGGAGAAATATGATTTTGTTTCTTAGTTTTTGTCAGTACTTGTGCTGCCGCATTCTGGATTAGCTGGAGAGTTTTCAAAGACTTATTAGAGCTACCTGATAATAGGGAATTACAGTAATCCAGCCTAGAGGTAACAAAAGCGTGGATCAATTATTCTGCATCTTTTTGGGACAGGATAGGCCTAATTTCTGCAATGTTACACAGATGAAAAAAACGCAGTCCGTGAGGTCTGTCCTAGACGTTTCATTCTGGACACCTCTCCTCCAGCTGTTCTTGGGGAAACCTCTCTTCCTTGTTCCATGTGGGTTCCATTTCAGGGCTTGTCAGGTGATGTTTGTGGCAGCTTTTCAGAGGGTGTGTCCAATCCAACTCCACTTTCTCCTTAGAATTTGTGAGTCAGTGGGATCCTGTTTTGTTCTTTTCCACAGGTCTGCATTGCTTACTTTGTCTCTCCACAAGATGTCTAGTATTCTCCTGAGGCAGGTGTTCATGAAAGTTTGCAGCTTGTATGTTGTGTGTTTTGTTGTTCTCTATGTCTGTGATCCATACAGCAACACCTGCTTTACATTGGAATCGAAAATGCCTATTTTGATGTTGATTGATCTGTATTTTGAGCTCCAGATCTTTTTGAGTATGTTAAACAATACCTTAGCCTTATTGATTCTACTTTTTATGTCGGCCTCTGTCCCTCTGCCAATGTCCACAACACTGCCCAAGTATGTGAACTCTTCCACCTCCACTACGGCCTTGTTGTGTATGATAATAGGTTTGCTGGTTTTGGAGTGCAACTTCATGACCTGTGTCTTTGCTGTCAGACCAAGTTTTGACGCAGCTTGTAAGAGTCATTTGTATCTGTGTGTGTTTAAGGATAGCTATCTTGTCTGCGAAGTCAAGGTCATCCAGCTGCTCCTGCATTGTCCACTGGATCCCAAGTTCTCTTCCTTAGAGTTGTTTCCTATAGTTGTCTGTTTTCATCTCTTGGATTGCAACTTTGCCATCATGGAGAGGCTTTCATACTCCGGTGACCCTAAGAGCTATGCCGGAGGGGGTTTTTATACCCTTGGAATGTTCAACCAAACCAGACAGGTCAAGGGCGAGGAGGCAGACAAATGCAGTGCCCAGTCCTCCATGTTGAGGTTTGGGAGAGGGGTAGACTACCCCCACTCCCAATCAAAACACCAAATCGTCGCATTCTAGCAGTTTGTCAAAATAAAAATACTATTAGTACTTTAGTGTTTTTGCTGGTGGACTTATATGCACATGGTCTAAACATGAGGGGGACGTGTCCCTAGCTTACCCAAAAAAATCTATGCTATGCTTATGACTCTTGCATGGGCACTTGCATTGAGGTCACTTTTATAATGAAATAAATAGTGAAAATTAATTTCACATTTTCCTAGGGACCCCTGGAACTCCCTCAAGGACCCCTGGTGGTTCCCCAACCCCTGGTTGAGAACCATGCACTAAAAATGCTGTCAATACTACACAACATCAGTGCATCTAGTAAAAACTTGTAATTATAACTTAATCCCAACTTTTTTTGTTAAAACTATATTGTGGAAGTGGGTACTGTAAACAGACAACTTAGAAAATGTTGTTGTTATAATGACAGCCGCACCACTCACCAGAGACCAGCATCACTCATTTAGCCAGCGTTATTTTATTTCACAGTGAGCCATTTTATATTACAGTTGCAATCAAAATTATTCAGCCCCCATTGAATATTAGGCCTATTGGCAAAATATACAATTTCTCTGCTGTTTGCAATAAACAAATTACACAAGAACTGTTTAAGTAGTTCAATGAAACTAATATTACAAGGGTTTTGATCCAAATTCAACACAAAATGCTACTTTCAATGACTACTGCAGTCTCAAAATTATTCAACCCCTTCATGACAAGCATCTTCAGTACTTAGTAGAGCACCCTTTTGCTGTTATGACCTGCTGCAAACGTGATGCATAGCCAGACACCAGCTTCAGACAGCGTTCCTGAGGAATCTTAGCCCATTCCTCATGGGCAATGGCCACTTGCCTCCTCAGGAATCTGGTGTCAGCCGCTGATAGTTTCCTCTTTCTGCCACGTCCAGGTAGTGTAGCCATTGTTCCTTTAACTTTGAACTTGCAAACTATGCTTCCAGCTGTATCTCTAGGAACATTCAGAGCTTTTTCTATCTTTTTGTATCCTTTTCCTTGTTTGTGCAAGGCAATGATTTCTTCTCTGAACTTTTTGGACAATTCTTTTGACTTAGCCATATTTCTAACATGCAATCAAACGTTACTCTCAACAAACCCCTAGCCAGTTGAGGTATTTATGTGTTCTATCTCAAGCACACCTGAACTAATGAAGCCCTTGATTAGTTGCACCAGGTGTGCTTGAAACAGGGGGTTGAATAATTGTGATTAGTTGCATCAGGTGTGCTTGAGACAGGGGGTTGAATAATTTTGAGACTGCAGTAGTGATTAAAAGTAGCATTTTGCGTTGAATTTGGATAAAACCCATGGTAATATTGGTTTTATTAAACTATTTCAACTGTTCTTGTCTACTTTGTTTATTGCAAACAGCTGAAAAATTGTACATTTTGCCAATAAGCCTAATATGCAATGGGGGTTGAATAATTTTGATTGCAACTGTAGCTGCCTGTATGTTAAAGATCCTTTAGAATCAAAGCAAAAGAAAAATAATAAATTTACTTAATCAATTTGTACTTTCTAAATTTTTATCTTCTGTGTTCTTTTCATTCCAGAATGGATACACTCCCCTTCACCAGGCAGCCCAGCAAGGAAACACACACATCATTAATGTACTGCTGCAAAGCGGTGCCAAGCCCAATGCCATCACTGTGGTACGTAAACCAAAACAAAAACACAAACATACACTTCACTATACATAGACACACATCACCTTCACTGTGTTTTCTTGTCCAGAATGGAAACACTGCCCTGGGGATTGCTCGGAGGTTGGGCTACATTTCTGTGGTGGACACACTGAGGGTCGTCACTGAGGAGATCATTACCACCACAACGGTACCTCACACACACACCTGCAACTCCTCAAATAAATTCTTATTATCTACCATTATAGATTATTGCACTTATGTTACCAAACATATAAATCCCTGTAGATCCTAGTGAGCACTGTTTCAGAGCAAAAGTGTGACAGAAGAATAACACATTATCCCACTTACAAATGAAAAGTGTCATTCATAAGCAATAAAACCAACTTGGCCTCACTCCCGTCTCGTTAAATAGCAAAGCTTGGTCAGAGGGCGTTGAGGCACCCTTTAGCGGTAGTATGAGATGCACTGGGCGGCAGCAACTGTTGCAGCGAGAAAGTCTAAATATAGCTGGTGGGAGCTGAGATAGATGTGTCAGTAGGCCACTGTCTGTGTTCTGTCTGACAGCATAGGTCAATCAGGTTATTTTAATAACAACATAGGCTGCTAGTATACCAAGCTGGTGACTTATGTCACATGACGTTACATTTTAATATTGATAATGTAATAAATAAATAAACAAACTTAAGTTAAGCCAAATCATGATGGGTTTTTTTCTAAGCCTAACCATTAGCTTTTGTTGCCTAAACCTGAGGAAATAAACCTAATAACAAAGTTCTTATGTCTCCCCACCGGCGATAGCCATGGTAGGAGGCTTTATGCTTTGGGGTTGTCCGTCCGTCCATATGTATATGTATGTCCATCCCATACTTGTGAACATGATATCTCAAGAACGCCTGAGGGGAATTTCTTCAAAGTTGGCACAAATGTCCAGTTGGACTCAACGATGAACTGACTAGATTTTGGTAGTCATAGATCAAAGGTCAAGGTCACTGTGACCTTGTTTGTCTTTTTCTCATGAGCGCAATATCTCAAGAGTGCCTTGAGGGAATTTCTTCAAATTTTGCACAAACGTTCTCTGTGATTCAATGATGAACTGATTAAGTGTTGGTGGTCATAGTTCAAATGGGGGTTAGGTTTAGGCAATAAAAGTCACTGTGGTTAGGTTTAAGAAAAGAAACATGTTGAGGATGTACCTATGACTCAAAGTTCACGATGGATCCAAATATGTGACTCCAGGCGAAAGTTTGTTTTTAGTGACCCATTCACCACCCCAACCCCATCCTTACAAGCACTTGGGACTGCTTCCTAGTTTACTGCTGTCAGCGTGATCACGTGATCAAAGCCTTTCAAAATGCGTGGGATATACAAAATAAAGAAAAATTGTGAATACAGCCTGCAATTGATTTTTGCTTTGCATTTCCATATAAATTAAAACTAAGAATTCATATTTTGAGTTACTTAATTTAGAATTACTTTACAATGCCATACAAACCCTTAGAGTGTAAGCTTGAAATCTCTTTTTTAGGATTTGCTATTTCTATTATTCTATATTTATATTTTGTCCATGTATTTATATCAGTGAGGGTAAATATTAGAAACACCTCTTAGTATAATGCAGTGTAGTCTTCAACTTCAGCACAAAATTAGAGCCCCCAAAATGAAAACACAGTTGAGTCAACTGCTCTCTATAACTGTTTCAACTAACACTGAACATTACAAACTTCAAGTAGGGAGAATTATTGCAGCACTGTTGTGCCATACTACATTGGTTTCAGCTAGGTTTAACTGACAAACAGGAAAGTGAGTTTATGGTGTGATGTAGAATTAATGGTTTCCATTTCCTCCCATGCTGCCAGACGGTGACAGAGAAACACAAGCTGAATGTGCCAGAGACCATGACTGAAGTGCTGGATGTCTCCGATGAAGAGGGTGAGTCATGGTGTCAGTATAACACACAGTGTAGCCCTTAAATTTGTCATCAAATGAGACAGTTTCCCTCGTGACTACAGCTAGTGAACATGTTTCCATTACTGCTAGTACGAAACTTCTACTCATGTGTAAACTGACCATTGAAGTCTGCGAATGAGACATTCTGCTTCATCAAAGCAGAGCTAAAGGTAGAGTGAATATTGGATTTGTGAAGTGCCGAAGGGCACAGCTCCAGATATATTTGGTTACTCCATGTCTGATAGATGTGTTAATAGTAGGGGTTTAACGGTTCGCAAAATTCACGACTCAGTTCGATATGTTACAGTGGTGTCATGGTTCGGTATGTTTTCAAAATAGCAAAATAGACATACCAGAGAAATTTCCTTGATTTTGAAATTTTTAAAGATATGAAAACAAACATAATTCAGGCTTTTGTTATTTGTACAAAGCAAGAATATCTGTATGGCTGAAATTGGCTGGTTAAAGTTTAGGTAAAGGAAAATTAGTGATTTATTTCTGAACACAATATACATGTTAGAAAATACTTGTTGAAAACGTGAAAAGCCTTGTGCTTGTGTGCTTGTGTCGACCGCGATCATAAATCATAATAGCGGTGAATGAGAGACTGTGGACAGAGCGGATTGAAATATTCTACGTGCTGATCACATGTATTGATAAAGTATTGGCTCGGCTGGCAGAGGTTTTATTGCACTTACTCACAGTAACAAGCGTAGTTGTCGTTAACTAGAGTAATCTTGAAGTTAAATTCCCTTCATCTGCACTGCCGCCTCTCTGCTGTTGAGTCTGTGTGTCTGTGTGGGTGTGTGTGTGCGCACGCTGTGAGGGGTGACATGCAGAGAGCAGGAGATAGGGCTGCAGAATGATGCTGAAACCGAAACTTTAAAAAGTAACGCCGATAATGGCGGAGCTTACTGTTACTACGGTGTTGATTAAATGTGCCTTGGGCTGTTTAATACCGGGTCTCGTTACCGATCCCTGTCCAGGCGTTTGATGAAGTCTCCTGGTTGGCCGGTGATAGATTGGTGTCAGACTGTCATTACAGCCCGTCCGAGCGGTTCATGCCAGGCTCGAATCAAACCGCCCACTGGTGATGTACGCATCGTCTCATTTGATGTTGCCCAATAAGAATCCAGATTGTCATAGCATTATTTTTTTCTCAGTAGACGCAGGTGTCAAAGCCGTGTTGACAGGAAAGAGGCAGAGGAGAAAACCGCAAAATCACCTGGGGCAGTGCGGGCGGGGCATCAAGGCCACTGTGGCCTTAGGGCAAATATTTTTTTCAAGGGCACAGGGCCAAATTGGGAGACCACGAGAGCCATGGCCCTCGTGGCCCTTGTGAAATTCCTGCCCTGTACTTAACTAAAAGTTTTGAGTAAACCAGCCAAAAAATAATAACTATTTCACCTCAGAACAACTTTATGTTTCCCATCTCTAATATATCTCATGGTGCAAAATTTCTTTTACCACAACATTAACTGTAACCCATTAGAGACATTGTGACATATAAACATTAATTACTGAGTAATGGGTAAGGTGAGTGATTTAGAACACATTTAAACACAGTTTTCTTCAGCTTATAGCCTTAAACACATTGTCTCATGGCATGCTGGGAAACTCCACCCATTTAGCCCCAACATGCCACAACATTTTAAGTGCACAATAATAGTGTTGTTCATTGGCCTTAAACTAATTAGGCAAAATCGGTTTTATACATTATAGTCAAATTAACTCAAAACTCAAAAATTGTTGACTTAACATAAAATACTGTGACAAGCTCAAAAGGGATGAGTTTTTGTGTCAAGTGAACATAAAGTTTTGACAAAAAAAGTGATTTTGACAATCCGGGGCTACTGTGTAGATTTTCAATTAAAATCTGTATCATGAATGGATTGGGGTTTTACAGTGCACTTTGGCTAGCTGTTCTGTGGTGTGCTTGCTACTCATGTTAGCAGCTGTGTCAGTACAGCTACATTACAACTAAAGAGCATTAGGGCAAGGGTTCCTTTGGTGTCAACCTCACACGCAGAGGGTTGTAACAAAGCAGTGGTTTTTGACAACCTGGGAATGAGAACAGGTTGGAAAATCACGGTGCTGAAAAAATGGAAATATAGCAAATATGAACTAAGTACAAAAAGTAAGGAAATTTGTGTTTGGTAGATTATTTCTTTGTTGTAACGATGCTTCTTGGCAATAAATCTTATACCGTTGGAAAGCCTGTTTATTACCCTTTTAAATGGTGCCACATTTGTAAGGAACATGCATTTGTGGGATGAGCAGCAGAGCAGAGAATGTGGGTTGTGCCCATGAAGAATTTGCCAAATCTTATCTGCCAATGCTAAACAGCTCTTTTTTTGCTATTGTTTGGTGTTGTTTGGTGGATTGGATGATTGAAGTCTGAAGAAACAAGGCATATTGGCAATTTAACAATTTATTCATTTAACAAACAGAAGCCTCAGTAGCGTGTGGAAGAACCATACACAGCCACAACAGCCTGGCACCTCCTCCTCATGCTGGTCACCAGCCTGGTCACACACTGCTGTGGGATGGCATCCCATTCTTCAAACAGCATTTGTCACAAGTCAGCCAATGTGGTTGTGTTGGTCACACTGGCACGAACAGCACGCTCAAGCTGATCCCACAAGTGTTCAATGGGGTTGAGGTCAGGACTGCTGGCAGGCCATTCCATCCTCTCCACTCCTAAATTCTGGAGGTAGTCTCTGATAAACCCTGCTCTGTGGGGGCAAGTGTTGTCATCTTGGAGGATAGAGTTTGGTCTCAGACTGTGGAGATATGGGATTGCCACTGGTTGCAGAATTTCATCTCGATATCTCTCTGCATTGAAATTGCTTCCAATGATGACAAGCCTCGTTTTTCCAGTGAGGGAGATGCCGCCCCACACCATCACACTGCCTCCACCAAAAAATGTTACTCTGTAGCAATCAATGTAGACTGAACAATGTATCTGTGCAGCAATCAGAAAAGCGTTCTCCGCGTCTTCTCCACACTTTGACCCTATGATCCAACTGCCATAGGCAGAATCTGGACTCATCGCTGAACATAACGTTCCTCCACATGTTCAGGTTCCAGTGCACGTGTTGCCTACACCAGCGCAAACGGGCCTGATGGTGAAGGGCAGTCATGGCAGGCCTCCTGGCAGCCCTATGAGATTGGAGATTGGCTGCGTGCAGTCTGTTCTGGATTGTCTGGGCAGAGAGCCGTCGGCCATATTGTCCTGCAAACCTGTGCTGACAGGATGAGAAAACAGTCTCCTTGGGGGTGCCGTCTTCTCGGGATGCCAACTTCGCGGCCTGTCTCTGACATCCCCTGTTATATGGAACTTGACCTTCAGTTTGCAGATGGTGCTCGGGCTCACTCCAAATAATGCCGCAACTTGGTTTGCAGAACACTAGCTGGAGTACCTGGGGGTACCAGAAGCTTAAAACAAGAGTCAATAGCAACAGCAAAAATAAAGCCGTTTGGCATTGGCAGAAAAATTTTTCATGGGCGCCACCCACATACTCAGCTCTGCTGCTCATCCCACAAATGTGTGTTCCTTACAAATGAGGCACCATTTAAAAGGGAAATAAACAGGCTTTCCGACGGTTTAAGATTTATTGCCAAGAAGCATTGTTACAACAAAGAAACAATCTACCAAACACAAATTTCCTTACTTTTGTGCTTAGTTTAGTATACCTTTAATGCAGTTTAAAGGACCTAGAACCGTGATTTTCAATGTCTCCTTATGTAGACTTATTTATAAGACTTTTATACATTATTTTCCGTCCAAAACCTTTATTTATCATGTCATTTTTTAGCAGGAAAGTTCTGAATATCTGCTACTGACATCGGTATTAGACTTCAAAGACCTATATTAGATTTAGCCCAAGTCTATTTTCAGCTCAAATTGTGTTGTATATTTTTGTCTCCCATTTAAAGAGAAGAGTTCAGAGGTCTTTTCTGCCATTAGCATATTTCAGAAAGTAGTAAGTGATTGTGCTGTCAATCCACAGCACTGAAATCCATTGATGATGACGTTATGTCAGATGACCTTGAGGATGTGGAAGGTATTCAGCACGGTGCTTTGTGTGAGGACTTGCTGTGCTGATCTGATCAGGAGTGGGTAGTGTGTTATGCATGGTGAATGAGCCTGCACCAGTGGCTCTTTGGTTAAATGCATCAATACTAACTGCACTGTGATATCTGGAAACGAGAGATGCAGAGAGAGTGGTTAAAGTTGAATTGAGCCAAAAAGATTTACCACCTGAGGGTTTTCTTATTAGAATGCGAACAGCATCAATAATAATTTGCTGATGTAGCAACCTTGACGTCACCTACTGGTTTGTGGACTCCTGTTTACAAGCCTTGAGCACAGCATTTTGGCTGTCGCCATCTTGGAATTGTGGAGCCAGAAGTGATCATATTTGAAAGAGGGGGTGGGTGAAGATAACGCTTACGCTAGCTGTTAGCTTTTAACATTTACAGTCTATGGTTAAATGGGATAATGCTAATGCTAATGCTAATGCAAATTTTCACTTGCGAAAAACAGGCTTAAAAACATTAAAACAAAATGTACTCAGCAGAAAAACTGAACATTTGAATCCTTGGAGGATCTCTTAGTACAACCAAATGCTGAATAAGACTTTTTAGGTAATCAAAGTGTTACAGTTAACTTGAGTGAACTGAAAACATGCTGAACTTGTCAACAGACCAACCCACCTGGCACTCAGAGCTGCCACGCCCTTAATTATGTATAACTTAAAGCCTTAATAACATTAAACAGATGAGTTATGTAAAAATTCACTGTTCACAGTTTTCATGAATGGGGTAAATCAACACATTGTCACTCCGACGTCATCACATGTCAACATTTAGTCATAGACTTTCCACATGACGTCCAAGGTACCCTGTGTTGGTTGTTGACGTTCTGGGATGCCATGTCAACTTCAGCTTGTTACATGCATTTTCCATTTTCAAAATAC